GGGTGGGTGTGGGAAGAGGAGGATGGATAACTTTTTTAAATAAAAAAACTGCCTAACTTTTATTTATAGTTATCGCAAATTAGCGGCTAATTATAAAAAATATGGTGTATTTTTGTAGTGAACGAGTTATCCTGCATTCATATTTAGCACGAATTCGCTGCTAAAAGTATGTATTTTTGTGTATTCATGTATACTTAGCCACTAATTCACACTATCTCTTAATGCAGGGTAAAATTTGACAATTATTTTTGCAGTTTAAAACAATCTATCCCAACATCCTTAATACTCGATCACCCTATTTATTAATTTTTTCCTCCCAGTATATATTATTAAATCACAATTTTTTTTTTGTAACATGTTAAAGGCTATTGGCGCAAATTAGGCAACATGTGTAATATCATAAGTGTTAAAAAAAATTTTTAGAAAAAAACTTCTAAATTAATTGGAAAAAGACAGTCATTTATTTGAAATCGATTTAAAAATTTTAATTTCTGATTTTGCCAAAAAAATTTATTTTCATAATTCTACACAAATAAAAAAATATCTTTTTCATGATGATAATCCCATAACTAATTGGGATCTTTAAAACTCGTCCTATCCTTCCATATGATCTGCTGCGGGATATATTAAGAACAATTTTCGTACCCAATATATCCCTGCAGATTTGCGATCCAAAACAGTTTTGGCCTGCCTTTAGTTTGTTGTTCCGTACTTCAAAATCAGTCCTAAGCTCAGTTGAGAAAGGAGGAAGGCTTTCGCCGCGAATTCGCGCTCTCTGTGTTGCAGGGTAAGGCCGTGGCTGAAGACATAAAATTAATTCCAAAATCTTCAGAACTTCTTCGAAAATCACGAAAAAAGCCTTTTTAAATTAGAAAATAAACATTTCCATCTTGAACACCCCAATCCCTTCTCTCCAAAATAATGTATACAATATATCACTATAAGGAAGAATTTGAAAGATAGATTAGAAGAGTTAATAACTTTTAAAATAAGGACTATAGTTAAAAATTTGAGAAAAATGGTATTTTTATAAAAAATAAAAGAAGCGACACAAGATTATTTTTATAAAAATATAATATAGCCAATACCCGTTACACAATTTTCGCCTTGAACTTTTTTTGTACTCTTTAAAATTTACATTAAAAATTTCTACAACTAGATTGAAGATTCATTCATTAAAAGCTTCTAAAAGTGTCCATACATATGAGTCAGATGCAACGCCATTTTGTGGTTTGCATGTCTGTTAAAGGACATTAATGAGCATTCATTTAATGATAAATAAAAACAATTGGTAGAAATACAAACCACAAAATGGCACTACAGCGCATTTTTAATTAATGCATTGCTAATCTAGTAGTATGTATAAAAATTGATAATAAATCAAAGAGAATTTCGATTGATAGCAAAAATTGTCTGAAATTCGCGTTTGGGGTACTCTATACATGCTGGAATACATTTCCGGTTAAATAAAATGTTCTTCAAATAAATTGCTCTAATGATTCCAAATTGAGATATTTCGAATCTCCATATATTCAATATATCCAAATACGTCATATAAACTGTGCCATTTATAACTTCGAATTTCAATATCATGTTTAGGAGATTGAGCCGGATTTTGCAAAATAAAGATATCAAACCCTTATATAAATTGTAAAAATTAAAGAAAAATGTTGATTAATATCTCAAACAAAAGAAAGAAAGAAATTCCATTTTCAAGTTTAAGATCAGGTCTATAGACAAAGTAGCTCAAGGGTATGTTAGGACCTATAGGATAATGTGAAAAATTTATTTTATTATAATAATCAATTTTACATTGGAGAAATAATTGGGATTTAAATCTTTAATTTGATATTACATTTTTTCTTAATTTTTTTTAGCATTTATATTTTATATTAGAAAATGAAATATAAAATTAACCATTTAATTTGATAAGGTCTCAACCTCTAGAAGGTTTTAATCACAATAACCTTGGTAAATTTATAAATCTTTGCATATTCATACTCTTATCAAATATTATAATCAAGTTGTGTGTCATTTCTAAATTTTTATTTTTTAAAAAAATATTTGATATAACATTCGAAAAAATTTTAAAACCAGAAAAAAACTGATAATTTTTCTAAAACTGTAACCGAATCCTATTTTATTAGTACAAAATTATGGCTAGTTTAACAGGTTGGAAATAATTATGAATATAATATAATTATCTCTCAGAGGATTCAATATCAGACATTAGATTTAATTAATTATTTTTCCAAATGGAGTTGGACGTGTCCTAGTCTTTCCCTATGTAATACCGTTAAAAAAGTAAAATATATTTGGATCAATGTTATATTTAATGAGGGGAAAAAAGTGTAAATATGAAAATACCAATGATGTTCCTTAACTCAGCAAATCAATGTGTGGCAAATAATACCATTAAAAAATTATAAAATTAAATATACATATTATATTATTGCGATTATCTATAGATTACAATGAAGTCATTAGGGAGTGATATTGGGGGCTCCAGCCCTGCTAAAATTTTGAGCACCCTTTGCCCCGGCAAATTGAAAGGTTTAATGACGCACCTGTTCATATCGCCAAAGACCATATATTATATGTTATTTATTTCTCTTGATCTTTGTGACATTAACTTTATTTAAGGTATATAATCGTTATAGCCATTGTTTATATTAAATTAGAAAAGAAAAACAACAGTGTTATCATCATTGAGCTTTAAGGCGATATTTTTAAAAAGTGTAAACAAATTTAAAATTTAAAATTTAAAATTTAAAATTTAATGTGTTAAATTTCATTACAAGCAAATAAAATTCGTCTATCAAAAAGGGAAAAAGATCTAAATTCTCAAAGCAGAGGTATTTTATATGTAATAATATTCTCTTTTCCATAAATAAAGGCATCAATTTTTTTAAAAAAAATTAAAATTAAAATCCTATAAGACCATAAAAAGAAATAAACATATAAGAAAAAAAAGGCCCTCATAGATTGAACTAAGATAGTGGCCGTCATTGTTGCTTCGGAATATTGCAATTTGGGTTAATCATAAAATTTTAAAAGGATCCACGATTCCCATTGATCTGAGAAAGGTATTTATCCTAAAATCTTAAAACAACTTATGTCGTGGTACTCCTTCTAATTTTTTACCTTTCGGTTGTTATAATCGGGTCAATGTTTGGGTTAGCGGAGAGCTGGGAGACACAGGTGAAATATCTAATAAGATGTTTTACTCTAAACTAATAGAGATTAAGGCCAGATCTTTTCCAAGACAGGGATAAGTGAACAGGTTTCGTGGTAGATTTGGAATGTCAGCCAATCCTAATTTATTCGGGATTACAAAATTAATTGGATCTGTGGCAATTGACCTGCCATTTTTATAAAAAAAAATTTAATAATAAAATTGTATCTATCAATTTTTCGACGATATAGCAAAAGATGTTAATATAATAAATGACTTATTTTTTGAGGAGGATATTCAACAAGGGGATCCTTTGGGACCTCTCTTTGCCTAGGTATTCATGACATCGTTTTTAATAAGAAGTTGAAATCCAATTTTGACTTTAATATTTGGCCTGGACGACGGAACTATCTGGTCCTAAGGTCAATGTGTTGAAGACCATTAGTTTCTTATATTAATAATACAAAGCTATATCTCTTGTTTTAAATATGGATAAAACAGAAATTAGTTTTTTAAATAGATGCCCCATCAGATATTTTTAATTGGTTTAAGGTTATTGATCGAGAGCAAATCTTCCAGAATCCCTTATAATAGTGCTATACCCATAAAAACAAGAGAAAAAAGTCTTCTTAATCAAATTAGAAGCAATATTGCGTAATATTCCTGCCCATCAATCTATATTAATAAAGAAATGGCTATGGCTTCCTATAATTTTATATCATCTTAGGGCCTCAATTTTAATTTCCTACCTTTCCGCCCTAGACCTGCAAATTAAAAACTTCCTTGAGATTATCTTAAACGTTCATTTTTCTGAGTTTATATGAGCGATTGTCCAACTTCCACAATTAAACTGGTTTGTGGTTTCTCCCTTTTATTTAAGTTTCTTTGTCAACTTACCTTTTTTCTAGTCTTCAATGGAAGGAATAAGTAAGTTTGTGAGTGGTAGAGATAGTCTATTTGAAACTGACTGTGACTTAGGGAAGAAAATTTATGCCTTTTATCTAGCCTCTTCTTGCTAACTTTGGGGTCTAACACCACTTTGGAAACACTCCAATTCTTAAATACATGGGGAAAACGAAACCTGTTTATATTCGAAATGACGGTTCAATCGTCATAGAGCTATTAACTTTATGATCTCGAACATTAGGGTTTGCCAACTACCCAAACCTCCTGGAATTTGTTTCTTAATCCCTGTCTGATAGAAAAAGACCGATGGGCTCATAAAAATTCCTTGGTTTATAGGAAAACCCCTTATTTAGGACTTCACTTGTATCTCCCAATTTTCCTCTAACACAAACATCGATCCGATTATTAGAGCCGAAAGGTAAAAAATTAAAAAGTACCATGAGATTTAAGATTTTCATTTAATATCCCAATAGTCATTTATATCAATAGCACCCTAAGCCCCGCCCCCTATGCTATCATTTTTTAAGATTATAGGTAAAAAAAAATTTAAAAAATTTTGATTCCATTTTGAAAATTTAAGGGCCAAGTTAAAAACTAATATTTTATATTATTTAATTATACAACAACATATATTTTAGATAATCAGATATACAGAGCACTCATTTTAGGTAGTCGGCTTTTAAGCTGTTATAATTAATTGCGCATGTGTTTCCATTTATTTTTTAAAAATATTTATTTGAGATCTATATGCCTATTCAAATCAATAGTCGTTTAGTAACTCAATTTTAGTATATTTTAATCTATTTGATTTTAAAAATGAAAATAAGGAATTAAAGCATCCTCCATTACTTATAAGCAAACATAGATTAATTATATTGCTATATTTTGTAATAAAAGGAGTATATATATATCCGTCAAGATGATCAACAAGCTAGATGTCGATAGAGAATCAATACACACCCAAGCCTCATCGTTCGGGGATATATACTCTACTGATAAACCAATGGATGAAAAGGGGTTAATTTGACATTATGGATGTGATATAAAATATAACAAATTATTCTATTTTTAAAGTTGGAAAGACGAGCGACAGGCATGGGATATATTTAAAATGACGAACGCCGAAATGCGATTCCAAGAATCGCACGCTATGATGAAATGCATTCAACAACTTCTTTTATTGGTAGCTTACGCTGTGAGCTTCGTTTTGGTGTTCGGAGCTTCTCTCATTAGTTTCGCGACCTTCATATTTATGACCTCAAATATAAAAGTTAAGTTCCTTTTTTATAATTAAATAATTTAAATCAAATCTTATATAATTTTTGATGGAACTGGATTTAATTAAAACTAATTTAACATTTGAAAAAAAAAATTAGATGTACAACAAAATAGGATCTACAGGATCAAATGGAATATTGAAAGTCTCGAATAATTGGACTAGTATGAGGGAAGCCTCACCTAGCAATAAATCAATCCATAGAATGGTACTACCTCGCTTCTACGAAGAGCAGCTGTGTTACAATACAAATATCACTCGTTTACCGCTAGAGTGGTTTGCTGAACCGGGCCCTAGATGGTTATGGGTTGTGTTCTTTAGCGTCTGTTTACCTCAGATATTTACATTAATCAAAAGCTTCAAAAAAATATTGTTAAGGAAAAGAGTTAAACCAACACCTATATTATTTATCATGGTAAATTATGTAAATACATATAAAATACATTAGAAAATAAATAAATTTAAATGGAGTACACATATGTTAGCCTCAATGTGTTTTTTTCCGACAATATGTTATTTTTTCAATTTTTAATCATTATTTGAGCGGGTATTTTAAAATTTAAAAATCTGATTTTACCGAAAATGTATTCCATCATATTTGAAACACATATCCTATTAATTTCAGGCAATTATACTATGATCTTTTGAACTCAATATAATTAATATTATTAGTAGATTTTTTTATTATAATTGACTCAAAGGCTAACGGCAAGATTGTCTACAATTCGTAAGATTCCAAACATGTTGGAATATATTTCGGTAAAATCCAATTTTTACATTTAAAAAAAAACGCACTCGAAAAATTATTAAAAGTTTAAAAAATAACACATTACCGGAAAAAACACATTGCGTTTAACATATACTCTTGAAACGCTATTTTAAATTATCCATAATTAATACAGACATTTTTGGCAGAAACTTCCCACACAATCGCTATCGGAATATTTGTATTTTCTGTTCTTCCCAACATAGATGCGGTAGTTTGTTGTATGCTTGGCCCTTCCATATGCTTGATACCCGCATTACTGCAACCGCTCTCAAGGCCGACTGGTTGCAAATATTACGTTATAAAGATATTATTGGATATCGTTGCCTTGTGTGGACAAATCAGTGCGATCGTATATTGGATCATCAAATCTTCAAATCCGCATTATAAACTCTACGGCAAAAACGATCAATGGATGATAACATTAGCCTTGTGTCTTATATCCTTTTTGTGGTGGGATAATTACATTGAAAAAACTATATCAATCCCATTTTTGTCTAAATTAAGCCGTTATAAGGATACGTTAAGGAGGACCCGACCAGCTATACACCTAATATTAAGTTGTTGGAACATTTTATTGTATTTCGCTATAATGATCATGTTTTCCACTAATTATTATAGTTTGAAAGATATGTTTGACTTTAAGAGCATTTTTTGGTATGAGGCAGAGTTGCTAACACCTGAAATAAAGGATTTCCCTGCAGACAATATAATAGATGAGCAGCTCAATGGTATTACCTCCGACATGGTTTATTATAAAATATCATTTAAATTTGTTTTTATATTTAATTGATAATTTTAGACTACAAACATTATCACGGTTGCAACAAAAACCATTTCAACTACCTTAAAGGGCATCACTGAGCATCCCGCTTCGATTTCAACATTATCATCAATATCGACAACATTGAAAAATATAGTAAAACGAGATGAAAATTTAGTATTGAATAGGAATATTCGAGAAACCTTATCACCCATAAATTGGGATGACTCAAATATTCCAGATACAGGAAAAAATGTGCATCTAATACGATACAAAGACTATTTATTGGCCTTAGTCATACAAACTTGCTCTTCGCTGCTTTTATATTTCGTTAGCATTTTTTCTTGCAAGACCGTTTTGCAAAAATTTAGTTTCGCCTTTCCCATTTTAGCCTCCGGGCCCATTTTAGTTTACCTTATGATGTTTTTGACAGAAATGAGAATAAATGATCCCTGCTTTTTGGCGAGCGTTATTCCGAGCCACCTATTCTGGAATGTCGTAGAATACAATCCTAACGCAAAACTTACGACTGTTTTAAATGCTTTTCAAAATAAAAATTCTATCTTAAAATATGAAAACACGCGGGCGGATTCGATGGGAGTGACAGGGTATTTATGGATGGTATGGATGTTATCCATGTGTTGGATTACCTCCCACATCTGGTACCCCAAGGGTGACAGATTAGAACAAACTAACAAACTGTTCACGCAACCAATGTATTGTCCCGTCTTTACGGCTATCAGTTTATTGCTAAGTCGGGCAAGAGAAACGACGGAGGGAGAAGTATTCTAAATACATTTTTATTTAATATTTAACCTCTTCTCTTTTCTTTTTTTTATGCGTACAGGCAAAAAATCACATACATATTGAGGATTCTATTAATGACTTAGATTCGAATCCATCCGAAACGGATCAGGCGACTCCCAATAGCAATGTAATCCCAAGAATCTATTTTTGCGCTACAATGTGGCACGAAAATTTGACCGAAATAACCCAATTGATGAAGTCGATCTGCAGGTTGAATCCCTTAATTAATTATTATTTTGTTGAAGTAAAGTAAGGCTTAAAAAAATAATAATATGATATACTATGGTTAAATATTGATAAATTATAAGATAGAAATTATATATTATTAATTCAATAGATACATCTTATTCGTTTTCAACTCAACATATTAACTATATATGTTATACTATTAGAATGGACATAGATCAAAACAATCGCAGAATGCGACGAAATTACATGAAGGTTGAGGACTCTGATTATTATGAGTTTGAAGCTAATATCCTATTCGATGATTCCATGGTCACCACAATTGAATCTTCCATACCCAGCATTTTGAAAGAAGGCTCATTTAATCTAACCAACGACACTCTTAGAATTTCTGTTAAAGAAGAAAAAGTAAGTCATTTTCCCCCATCAATTTTTGTAAATTTGTTAGATAAGCATTCATCATATATTATTTAGATCACCGTAGTGAGAACAAATCAATTCGTAAAATTGCTATTTCGAGCCATGAAAGACGCCTCTGAATGTACGTATGATACAAGTGTTACACTGAATCCGCCAATGAAGGTTCTCACCCCATACGGAGGTCGATTAGTATGGAAATTACCTGGGAGAAATAAAATAGTCGTGCATTTGAAGAACAAAAAATTGATTAGGCCCAAAAAAAGATGGAGCCAAGTATATTACATATATATATATATATCAGAGATCTGCAGAGGTACCATTTGTACTGCCCGGATTTTTTTTTAAAAAAAATTTCCCAACCCGGCCCAGGTTTTTTTTTAAAAAGAAATTTTAGGCCCGGCCCAGATTTTTTTAAATATATTTTTTTTTATTTTTGATTTTTACATCTAAAAATGGCGATTTCAAATATTAAGTTTTAAAATATACGGCCTGGCTCGGATATCTTTTTTAAAAAATTTTCAGGCTCGGCCCGGGTAAATTTAAAAAAATTATCCGGGCCAGGCCGGGTTTAGGGCTGGGCCTGAAGGTCTCTGATATATATATTTTTTTTTTAAATGATGTTTTATTTTGATTTAAAAATGATTACAATTAACAATAAAATAAAAATTAAAAAAACTATATCAAAAATACAATTTTATAAATGAGTTTCAAAAACCATAATTATGTCTTCAATTTGAATTTTTTGGTGCATATATAAAAATTCTCTAGCTTCCTTTGTAAAAATTCATATTTTATTGCCTAGATTTTTTAAAAACTTTGGCGAAAAATGGCTTTGCAATAGTCACTATTGGAATGAATATGAAGTTGTTAAAATTTTTATACTTGTTATTCTTTTTAGTTTGTGCCTATATTAGTGGGCTAATATTTAAGTATGAGTGGAATAAAGAGACAAAGGTCTAGTCCTATATTAGATTTACTGAAGGCCCAAGGTATGGTTGTCATACCATCAAGTTTTAACTTATCTTGTAAATTTGTGGGTTCAGAATAGTTCGGAATGTAGTTGGCTCTTAAACCTAGATTTATTATAAGGTTTATTGCTGTGTTGCGTTGGTGTCGCCCACAAAATATATTAAGGCCATGCCTACCTTCAAATCTATGGTGATTTGAATTTGATACAAGCATGAGGATGTACGATGTCACAACCTAGTCATAAAACCATTCATGACTACCAAGTCAATCATTTGATTGAAGGAGTTCAAACTAAAGATGGATTGACTGATATATCTATTTTCTGTAATATAATTGAGTGTGTTTTAGCTATTAATATCGTTTTGAATGACTAAATACAATATAAAGCATAGGCGTATTCAGAATTTTTGTATGGGGAGGGGCACTATTAGATGGGGTTTTCGCCATAACCTTTATTGGAAAAATTTAGGCCCACTTATTGCACTTATTGTAGGCCTTTGACAATATTATATTTTTATGAAAATAACTTTATTTTAAAAATTTATTTACTTTTACTAATTTTTCCTTCAAATTCTTCTTTATAGTAATATATTTTATACATGGGGGAGGGGGGGGGAAGGGGGGGGGGGTGTTTTATTAGCTTAAGGTGATATTTATGAAAATATACAAACTTGCGATGCACCCCCTCTCTTTGTTAGGCGCCTGATAGAAACTAAATCCATATTAATTTTGAAGAACAAATTAAAAAATCAGGAGATATTTAGATGAAAGCATTAAAAAATGAGAATTTTAGAGAAAAATTTATCAATATCTGGGTAAGTATAAAATAATAATTTTCAGAGTTGCTAAAAGATACTTTTCAAATGGATCTATTTACAGTTACAGAATCTGAAAATGGTATAGATATTGTCTAGAAACGTATCTAGTTACAGATACAACATATTTGTACAAAAATATTTTAATAACTCTGATAATTTAAATATATTGCGATTTTTGGAATCAAATAAATAGTATTAAAAGATATCAGATCAGACCCATTTTAAAAATCCCACGATGAGCTGAATAATATACTTGGTCGGATTCTAGGTAATACGAGGAATATAAGCTCCTTTACATTACAATAAATGGCATTCATGCATTCATCAATATCCAACATTTGATTCTTCAAATGATAAGATAATAAATTTTTTTCAAAATTAATATAAGATTCTTATATTACTAATTTTTTAAAAATTGTAATGATTATAAAGGTTATGTACATGTACTACCTTCTAGGGTATCGACATAATAAACGCATATCAAAATGCGGGGCCGATATAGCCCTAGGTAAAGAGGTGGCGGACAATACATTTATCTTGGCTTTAGATGGAGACGTTGATTTTCAACCTATTTCCGTTATTAGGTATTTTATAGCATGGTATTTTTTTTTAATCATACAATGTCTAATTAAACCGGAATTACCAAAATGATGCTATATAATTTAATATTTTCTTAATCAACCTATACCTAACCTTTTATTATATTTAGGTGATGACGCAACCTTCTCATTTTCTCATACTCTAAACGTTATAAGAACATCATCAAATTTGATTCAGGGCCTGGGAATGTAAGAATTACTTTATTGAGCATCGATGAACTCCTTGTGAATCTGTCAAGATTAGATATTTGGCTATACGATAGGACCATTTAATTGGTTTACTTGACTATGTTTCTTCTACACTATTCATTTTCAAATCACCAGAAGGGAAACTTGTTTTTTAATATTTGGATGGATGTAATCTAAATTAGGAACTTTAAAAAAATATTATCACCAGAAACTTATCTAAAAGTATATTTGTGGATAAACTGGCGTCGATGTATTAAAACTGTCTTGAGAGACCCTCAAAGAGCTCCTTGGTGCTTAACATAATAATTCCTTCATTTTCAGACCCGGAATCGAATCTTAGCATGTTACTCATAACGTTCGGGGTATGTGAAATCTAGGAATTGGTTGCAGTTATTATAGTTTGCGATTAAAAAAAATGAATTAGGGATGTCGTTGCAACATTCTAATCGCTGACTTATTTGGAATTACAATCAGCGTGTTGTGAAAATATAATCCTGGGTCGATTTTTAAAAAACGGCCTGATTAAGATTTTAGCTAAAATAATATTATTTAAGCCTCGAGATTTGGTAGAGGTCCAAACCTTTCTGCCACCTATGAATAGAATCTCAGGCTTACTTAATATATTGCTAAAATCTTAATATGGCCACACGTATCTTAGAAAAGCTTTAACCCTCTTAAAATTTAATTTTGAGGAAAGAGAAACAAAAATTTTTATAAATGAAATAATTTTTATAACTGATTAAGTGTAGCATCAGGTCAGGTGATCAAGCATTTGAGTGGAAAAATCTCGTCATTTTTTAGTGTCGTCATGATAAAGTGCTGTCTTGATAAAGTTTCGCGCTATAGAGGATTATTAACGATATAATATCTTTTTTCAGAATTTTTATCTATCTTAATAAATTTTAAATGTATTGTTAATACTCTACTTTAAATATATAATAGCTAACTTCTTTTTTTTAATAATGAGGTTATATTAATTAATATCAGTTTATGATAATAATTTTTTTTAAATTAAATTTATTTTATCTAAATATTAAAGACTGGTTGATTTGATGAAGAAAAATGTAAACGTAGCTTCGGCATGCGGAAGAATCCATCCCGCCGGTACTGGTCCCTTAGTATGGTATCAAAAGTTTGAATACGCCCTAGGCCATTGGCTACAAAAGGCTGCGGAACATATGATAGGTTGTGTTCTATGCAGTCCTGGTTGTTTCAGTTTGTTTAGAGGATCAGCACTTATGGCTGACAATGTGGCTAGAGTCTATACTAAGATGGCAGAAGAGCCTTGGCAAATAGTTCAATATGATCAAGGCGAAGATAGGTATATTTAATTTACTAAAAATATGTGAATATTATTATATTGTGTTGTTATAAATCTCGATTAAGTACATTTAAAAATAACGGCTAAATCATAGCCTAAGTCTAAAGATTTCGCCAAAAAGGGCCAAACTTTTTGCCATATTTTGACAAAATACCAACAATTGGATTAAATTTGTTTGGCTAAAATCCTGATTTAGCGGTATTCTTTAATCTCCTAAACCTAATTTTTAACAACACTCGTATTAGTTTTTTTTTTGAGAAAAATATTAATTTTTTAAACTATCTTATACATCATTAATAGACTCATTTTTAACATATCAAATTTTGTTTAGGTGGTTATGCACATTAATCCTTCAACAAGGCTATAGAATAGAATATAGTGCGGCTTCTGACGCTGTCACATATTCGCCAGAAGGTTTTGATGAGTTTTTTAATCAAAGGAGACGTTGGATACCTTCGACTATGGCCAATATATTGGATCTTTTAAGAACATATAGAAAAACAGTAGCCGTAAACGAAACAATCACGTTTTCTTATATATTGTACCAAGTATAATGTGAATAAATTATTCATTCATTTATTTGCGTTGGTCTACGTCCTGCCATTTAAGAACTACGTGAATTCTGCAAGGACCCTCCCCCCTCGCATAATCGCGTCGTTTTTTTATGGAAGCCGACACATCCTTTTTGAACAATTTATATTATTTATTTTGAAAATAAACATATTTATGCAAATAAAAAAGATAAAATTAAATTTAAATTCACATACGATATTAATGTCCATTTAAAAGAAAAAAAGTCTTAATAAATAATGTTTAGAGATTATTTTATCGTTTTTATTAATAATATTCTTAATAAACATTATTAATAGAGTTGTTAAAGTATCATAATACCAAAATATGATATCTGTATCAATTCCTGTATTTATATACTATTTGTATCTTGGTCTATTTTTAGACGATGTATCTTACCTAGATTTATATGAAAAGTATCTTTTAACAACTCTGAATATTAGTTTATATAAATTCCTATTTTATTATTTTTAAAAGGCTATGATGTTTGTCAGTACAATGATTGGACCTGCTGTTATCATATTATTGTTAGTTGGATCTATGAGTGCAACCTTTTATCTCACGCTATGGGGGTCTATAGCGCTCAATGTTATTCCAATCATTATATTCGTTGTGATGTGTTTTAAAACTACCATCAAACATCAAGTTATGAAATGAAAGAAGGAAACAAAATTATATTTTCTTTTCAAATTATTTTTAAGAAAACCTAAATTTCTCGGACGGCGTTTTTTTAGAAATTTTTTCATTCTGGAAAATACTTAAATATTATAAATACATTGGGATCTAGTGTTGTTCAAAGGGCTTAATTTGAGGCTATTTTTAAAAACGGATAATTCAATAGCCAGAAAAATATTACTTAAGCCTCGAATTTAGCAATGTCCAAAACTTTTCTGAATAAATTATTGAGTTAGCGGTTTTAAAATCGGCTCAAATCGACCCGGTTTACAATAATTTTGGGATCCTATACTTTCGTTTATTTTTTACTTCTCAACCGTCCTGGTATTATTTTCATTTATTTTGTAAGCCCGTGTCAGTATTATTTTTACGAACCGGTATTTAAATGCTTTGGTATGTTTAACAAATAACATTAATTCTTAATAAAATGTCTATGTTTAAACGGCTTATTTTGCCTATTTTAAATTACGTTTTTAACCAAAATAATATTGAGCGATCCCCTCAAAATTGCGTTAATAAGTGCCCAAACTTTTCTGCCCATCTATGAAAAAAATTTACAGGCTTGCGTAATATCTTTCTACGCCGAATATTGATGTTCGTCCCAATTAACACAACACTAGAATTGATATTAGTCATTATAATTTTGTCATTATTTTAAGCACAAGAATGGTTATTATGAAGAATAATTATTTTTAATGTAATGAAAATCTAATCATGAATAAATTTCGAGTTAGCCTCAGGTCAAAATTTGAAATTATACAATGTCGCATTGGGGGATATGAAATCCACGGGATATTTGGAATCTCCTGATTTTAAAATCATTAACTAGGGGCGTTTTTTCTCACGAAAGTACTCTACAATTACTCTAAATTTTAGACAATTTTGTGAACCTTTGAATCACCCATGTATCTATACTCATATAAATTGATTATTGATACATAAAATTTAATGATAAAAATTATCTGAAAGATTATAAGGTGGGGTAGTCACTCTATATATGCTGGAATACATTTCCGGTCAAATTAAATTTTCCAAATTTAAAAAGCGCCCATAATAAATGATATAACATTGAGAGATTCTGAATTCCCATGTATTTTTAAATCTAGCAATTTAATTCTTGAACGATCATTTACTCTTAATATATTTTTTTTGTTACACTACTTGTACCTTTTTACAATAAATTAACTATTAAGAAGGATATTTTACTTTAAACTTAAAGAATTATAATAATTACTAATATTTTTTTATTTAATGTATATAAAATTTAGTTATTATTCGCTAAAATTCTGGCCGGTGTATACGGAATAGCTATGTTATCCTTCTGCATTCGTGCCATGATTCAAATTCACGATGAAGGTATCCAAAGCCCAGCAGCCATATTTATAATCATATTGGTGAGCGTGATCTTTGCCGCATCAATTTTGCACCCCGAAGAATTTAAAAACGTCATATACGGCTTACTTTATCTATTAGTAGTTCCAACCATGTATCTTGTTTTGATCATATACTCCCTCTGCAATCTACACATTGTTTCGTGGGGAACTAGAGAGGTAACTATAAATATTGCAATCAGACAGTACTATACACCCCCCTCCCCCTCGTTAATAACGATATTACCACTTACTCTCTAATCCCAATTTAACTGCCCATTATTCCATTTTAATTTTAATGATGATATTGTGTCAGACCCTCTTCTTCCTGTCTCCTGTGGTAGAAGTAAACAATTGTTTAATATGATGTTATCAATAATCTATTTTTGGGTATTATAACCAGGGTTGGCAAGTCAATCACGAGTCAAATTCAGTCAATTGATCGGAGGAGTATTTGACCTGTCAAATACGATCAAATAGTCTAAAAAATTTAAAGGAAAAATAAATTAAAAATATGTTTAAAAAAGGGAAAAACGATGTAAATACATGTGATCACAATGTTTGCTTATTTTTTGGGTCCACAATATCAAGAGGAGAACTCACTAGTAGTGAAATTAATGAAGTATGTGATATAATTCAAGAATTAGCTACAAGGTAGTGATGATCAAAATATTTTAAGTGATATTAATTTCAAAAGCAAAAACAGCATGTTTAATATAGCAAATTATGTGGAAAGTTGAAATTTCCAGAAACATTCAATTCCGACCTCAAGTTAATAGTTTTAACTTTGTCTACCCTGTCCATTAAGAGACTAACAATTCCTAGTTCTACTTCTTCTTTAGAAAGAAATAGGTCGATTTAGGTTAATATTCTTATGAAAATAGAAATCGATTTAAGATCTAAGACATCAGGGAAATTGATTAAAAAATATTAAAGAAAATGATAATATTGAATATGAATCAGAACAAGACTCTTATACAGATAGCTACACGTTAGTTATTGAATGACAATGAATTTAAAACATTAATATTATAGATTCATTTTACTATTATATTCAAAATAAAGTTAATTTAACCACATTTGACCGGTCAAATATCGGTCAATTGATCGAAACGTATTTGACCGGTCATATGCACAAACCTGATTATAACACATTTCTGGTATCAATAAAAATACTGACGATAAATTTAAAAAAAATATACACAATTTTTATTAGTAAACACGATTTATCATCAACGATTCTGTTAATATCTTTGTTGGGGGTAATTTTAATCTATTTGCATTAACTATATTATAAAATTGTTCTCATTTGGAGTTGATAATAAACTCATGCTTATTGGTTTGGAATTTAAATATATAAAGAAATGTAAATTTAAAGGAAAATTTCTCAAAATCCCTTTTTAGTTAAGCTCGTCTAGAAAGGAAAATGAAAATTGAGGATTTGTTAATATATCCCACATTTTAAAGGGCCTATTTTAAAAATATTATCATCAAAAATGTAAATAAAAATTAAATTTTATGCAAAAAAAAAGTTTTAAAAATTATTGTATGATTGTAAAAAAAATCTTTTCATTGTCGAATTAAATTTTTTTGTTCTTACCTCTCTCTTGTATTTATTTAGATAGTTAAAGTTCAATTGGAAAAAACTGATCAAAAGAAGAAAAATTGGATTAAGATATTGTGGGAAGATTTTATTAGCCTAAAAGAATATATACCATGTATAGGTAAATAAATAAAAAGGATAGGTGAATAATAAATTTTAAAATCTACTTTGCATTAGATGACAAAGCAAGTGCCTTGGCAAAGGCTAAAGATAAGAGGGCTGTTTCAAAGTCTAATTTAAGTGTGGAAAATAGACCCGCGACTCAAACTCTTTTAAAAGATCCAACAAATTTGAGTAATGACCACACTAAAAGCCTGACAAAAGCTGACAGTCAAATATTTCCCGAAATCAAAGTTATACCAGTTAATACGTCGGAATACCCATCACTTCTAGGTCAAGAATTAAACAAAACAGTAAACCAAACAGTTATACCTACGATTAACATACAAAAAGATGACTCTAAAGATAACAAAAGTTAAAAACATATTTAAAAATTTATAAAAATTAACACTTTTTGATATAATCGCATAAAGATACCAAAGAAAGTCATAATTGGTGGAATTCGAATTGGATGGAAGATCCAGAATTACCGCTTGGGCCTATAGGAGCATTGACTGGTGATGAAATTAGATTCTGGGAGGAGTTGCTTAAGAAATATCTTCTACCCATAGAGCTAAGTGAGGAAAAGAAAAAGGAAATTGCTGATGGTCTCATTCAATTACGAAACAAAGTTAAATTTGTTTTGATAATTAATTTTTTATATTTAGACGAGATCGGGGATAATGTGATGCTCTATGTTCAAGTATCCATAAATTCCTTAACATGTTCAAATTAGTCTTTTCTACTGCGTAACCAGTAGTGTCAAAAAATTGACTTATAATATCCTTAGAGAACCAGCTGAATTTTTTTTGGTTTAAAAAACATTAAAATCGAGTCGATAGTTTTCAGCCAAAAGCTCGTTTAATACGAAGAGAAATATTAAACTAGAAAAAAATTTTATTTAAATGCTCAAAAATTGTTAACTGTATTAAACCGCAAATTTTTTAAATAACATTAAAAAATTCAGAGATACTTAAAACATCCACTATCATTTCATATGAATTGAATTTCAAAAATAATATAAATTACTTAGTACACATAATAAGAAATAATAACTATACTAAATATTATATTCTTCCTTTTCCGAATAAAAGAAAAGGAAAATAAATTAACCATAAGCATGTTTTAAATTTATTTATGATTGAATTAAAATATAAATTGCAGTGTAGTTATCTTCGTTGACTTATTATTTCAAGTATTTTATGTTTTAAAATTTTATAATTAAAATCACGAAAAAGCTAACATTTATTTTATTTAAAAAATGGGGAGAAAGCGAAAATAAATAGAAGGCATATTTTGGCGTAAGCAAGAATAAAAATAGAGAGGTTTTCAAAATCGAAAGGTCTGGCAACCCTGATAACTCCTTCTATTTTTGAGAATGGCAGCCTGATATTGTTAATATTTGATTGAAAGAGAGTGGGGAGGGTAGGATTTTATCGTAAGGTTATAATTTAAACAATTTAATATTTTATTAAGATTATTTTGAGAATGCTCTAACAGGATTTTTGATCAAATCTTACCTAAAATTCCAAATCTTCTTTTCTGGCAAGAACATCTATAAATAAATCTTTTGTGATTTTTATGCATAAAAAAAAATCCCTCAAGATGAAATCACTTATTCTTTTTTAAAAATCTTAAATTTCATAATCTTTAATATTTATTTTCCCAAACTCTAATTTTATGCGCATATAGTCAGCCTTTGGTTTCCTATTGGCTAATTTAATATTCATTATCGTGATTCTCATGCTACAAATGAATAAAGAATCGCTGCACGTCAAATGGTACATAAGTGGGTCAAAGAAATATCTAAAATTGGAACCTTTGTCGTTAGCACTTTTAGCCTTCTTTGTAATCATTTTGGGAATACAATTTATAGCCATGCTCTTCCATCGATGGAATACCCTACTCCATATACTAGCTTCAACTGAACTATTTTGTTTCAAAAGCAACGAAAAAGGTTTAATTCATATTCTTACTTAAACCCATTTTCAATATAATTTTAGAAATTCCGTTAGAAATTCATTCTCCCGAGGCTTTGAGGAAGCACAACTCAGCTCGATTCAATTTTGCCCATAAAAATACGGGCGAAAACGCTTCTTTGAACAAAGAGGCTAATAATAAATTACAAGTACCATCCCCTAAACAAATCTCTTCCCTTTTTCATCATTCCTTCTCTAACGATGATATCAATGGGAAGGCAACGCTTAACACCAAAACGGATAAAAAAAATAGGAAAAAAATCGGGGGCGTCATCGATGGCAAAGTGAATAACAATTCTCTTCTTTTGAACACCAAACCTGTCGATCTGCCAAAAAATAACAAAAACATCCACAATTCGTCAAATTTAACTGATCTATCGCTTAATTCCGTAGTTAGCACCGACCCTTTTAAGAACAAGGGTAACCTGAGAAGCGAAATAACTAGTACCCCATTAAAATCCGAACCTGTTTCATCAAATATGCCATCGTATAGTAAGGTCAAAAAAAATGGGCCGCGGGAACAACCTAAATTGGAAGAAAGGATCGATGATCAAAGCATTGTGTCCGTTGGCTCGAAAGATGAGAGCGAAGAGATGGACGTTAGCGATATTCTAGATGACGATATCATTTATAGCGATATCCCTCCCGTCAATGAAAATGCGGTATCGGAGTCGTCTAAAATTAACGATGAATTAGATGTGAGTCAAAATCGCGGGGACACCTTAATGAGCGATCTTGACAAAGTAATGGTAAGAAATTTCGAAAGAAACGAAGAATCTAATGTCCAGATCCCGAGGAACGCGAATTCAAAAAATGTATAAATGGTTTTGTATTTTTTGAAAAATAGGATAGTTCATTATATAATTATAGTTTTCATAATTTATATATAGAATATACTAATTTCCTGTTGATTTTTTTTTCTTCATTCTTTAATTTAAAAAATTGTTGTTTCGTTTATATATATTATTTTCTTATGTTCAATAATAAAAAAAATTCCAAGGACTACCATCAAAATAAAAATAAGGGAAAAATTTTAAGTTTACAAGAGTTATGAATGAGTAGTGTTGTTAAATGGCTCGATATGGCAGATTTTTAAAAACGACTAATTTAATATTTTAGCCAGAAAATAATTGCCCATGCCTCGAGATTTTTAGAGGTCCAAATCTTTGTGCCACCCATAAGCAAACTCTTCAGCTTTTAAAAATCTGCTCAAATCTAGCAGTTTAACACGAATGAGTATATAAATATGGATATTTACGCACAAAAATCATTAAACCAATAAGTCTAAATGTAGGTTCTGAACAGGTGGTTAAAAAGAGGTCCGGAAAAGGATGAGATCTTTGGATTAATTAGTAAACAGTATTAGAGTGAAAAGGTGCAACCATGAAGAATCGTTAGTTACATTTGAAGTTATGCCATTTGTCTAACGCGCAACAGGTCTAAATTAATTTTAACAATCTAACTACTAATTGAGTCAACCTTGTGCTGGTGAGTATACACAATTTTTTAAGAATCGTAAAGAGAACACTTTGATTAATGAAAGTCTTGCGATGTAAAGCAGTAGTCCTCAATTATGGTTCAAGTTTTTATCCAGAAAAATATATGCAAGCCTAGAGATTTTGCTCATAGATGGCACATAAGATTGAATATCTATTGGCGAAATCTCGACAATTAGGCAATATTTTCCTGGCTATAATATTGAGTTTCGAGCCGTTTAACAACACTAGATGGCTTAAAGGTTTGGATATTTATTAGCGAAATCACGTGGCTTAGGTTGTATTTATCTAGCTAAAATATTTAAAAATCGGCTCATATGGAGCGACTTTGCATCATTCATGTGACCAAGGCGCCTTCCGCCTAGCTAGCGTTAGTTAATTAGGGAATCTGTTGTAAAGGAGGAGTGTGGTAAAAAGCTTTTGTTTTTTTTAAAAAAAGATCAAAGTTTTTTTCCAAAGAAAAATTTATAAAAACTCGTTTTTGTAAAATTAATCATATTTAACTTCAATTTTGCCATTAAATGTATACATTTAATAAATGATTGATTTTATTATTAAAATATATTATAAACAAAAAAAGGAATTATATTTATCAATTATTTGCTACAAATTTCTGAAATTTTTTCTTTTTACAAAACATGTTTTCGATAATTGTAGAAATATAGAAAATATTTATAATTTACGTGTCGCGGTGTAAAAATAAAATCGACTAATTCATAGTTTTATTTGCGCAAAAAAAATAATTTTAAGTTCTTTTTATTCACATTTATTTTCTCTTCAAAATATATAAAAAAGGTACAAGACAATTTTAGAATTAATTATGTTATGCTACGTAATGATAAGTGTTCGAATTTTCTTTGTCTCTATGCATGTAGTCTCTTTCAATTAAGCTTTCGATCCTTTTCTTTAAATCTGAGGGCTAAAGAAAATTGGATAAAAGATTATATACATTTGGAATGAAATTGTATTTAAAAATGATTATATTTTATATCTTCGCTCATAATCGTTTTTTACAAGGTTTCAAAAATTTGATCTGTTATCATTTAATTAAAATTTCATCAATCAGCCCCATCTGTTATGTCGTCAAATCACCTTTGGCTAACTCCCAAAAAGTAAAAGCAAGTTTTTCTTCCTAATCTAAGCTAAAAAGCTCTGGACTATGTTGTAGTCTTTGCATTATGGGACATTCTGTATCACACCTTCAATTGCTACTGGATATGGTATCCAAGCTGCTGGTTTTTTTGGTTTAAAAATAAATGTTTATAAAACTAAGTTGATGACATCATTATACTCCCCTTCAAATATGAATCTAACGATACAAGGGAGAAAATAGTAGAAGTTCAACAATTAAAATATCTAGGAATGTGGATAGAAAAGGAAATACTAAACTAGACTTAATAGCCAAATTAAATAAAGGCAGAATGAAATATAGATCTTTAATGAAAATATGGAGTTCTAATCAAATATCAATTCCTTTAAAGATTCGATCATTTATAATTATAATATTCCCCTCTATTTTATGGTATAGAAACCTGGAAAGATACTAAACAAGAAAGTAAAAAGATGCAAACTTTCGTTAACAAATGTCTTAGGTATATAACCAAAACATTCTATCCTTATAATACTACGAACTATAATCTTTGGTCCAGATGCGACACCCTCCCTCTATATAGACTGGGTGAATATAGAAAAAAAGTATTAGGGCATATTCTCAGACAAGCCAAACAACCTAGTTTATCAAGCTCTTTTTATTATCCCTTTGGATGAGACATCGCTAAACCTTTCATATCCTATAAAAATAGTTGGTTTGGGAGATTAAAGCGATCATTATCGGAAATAGCTTTATCTTGAGCATTCATACAACGTTATTCTTCTGATAGGAAAACTTACAAAATTGTACTAAGACTTATCTATGAACACTTGACGAATAACTGATGAGAATATACCTGAAAGGCTATTGTGTGGAAAGGAAGTCATTTATTCTAGATAAACAAGTCAAGAAGAGTAAGTTTGTATTTTTAGATTTAGAATAGCTTCAAGAGCATTATGTCCCTTCCTAAATGAAACTATTGAATCCCCATAATCTCGTTCCACAAAAGGTTTGAGGCGATTTAGGATAATGTTAGTGAAAATCTTATAGATTATAGAATTCAGTGAAATTCCTCTCCAAATACTCTAGAGCTTTAGGATGCTTAGTTTATGGGAAATTAATTAGGACAGCCGTTAGCCAATCACTAGGGCAGGCCCCTTCCTTCCATACTCTCGTTATGATTGGGAAAATTTCGGCGGATAATATAGGGTCAGTTTTTAAATATTCACTATGAATATTATCTTGTCCACACGCCTTGTGATTTTTTAGTTTCTTTATTATACTTATTATTTCACTCTTAATAGGATTTAAGATTCTATTTGTATTTGGGAATAAGGTAGAGGGAAATGTGTAGATGAAGATGTAGTATTATGAGTAATATTATCTTGTGGGAGAATTAATTGCTGGGGGCCTAATATTATCTTGTGGGAAAATTAATTACGGGGGCCAGAGGTTCGAAGAAGATGGACCATGGTGAACGTAAGAAGGCCTTGGTTTGGTAAATGTAATAAATATAATAGTCGTCAAATCCCTACAAGATTACGCGATTATCAGACTTAATTTAATATTTTATTTTATATTGATCCAGGTCATACTGCATGGAATGGGAACCAAGCCCCTCTACCTATGAATTTATATAAAATCAATCCACATCGCTGTCTAGAAGATTAAGTAATTTTAAATGGCCCATAACTAATAATAAAAAAATGTTAATTCATAAATTTAAATATGCATAAAACATTATTTATTATTACCATATGATAATAGTTAAATAGTCTATAATAATGCACCCTAGTTGAGCGTTTTAAACGCAAATAATGCATTTCAAATAGTAACGTGCAGATTGGTGAAAATACCGCTTGAGGTTAGAAACCATTTTAAAAAACGCAAACTAATTTACATATTTTTCAATACTTTTTATTTATCTCATTTGGAACCTTTGCTCTCCGACCAGTATTTTTCGGTTTATTTTTCGCAAAATAAGCCCATATTATTGTTTAATTATATGTAAATCAAATTATACATCGATATAAAATTCAAAAAAAAATTAACTTATCTTTTTAAAATGGATTATTTAGAAATTAATGAAATAAAAAAGGCAGACGATAATATAATTTACAAAAACCATTTCTTTTTTTATAACTTAATTAAAATTTTAGACGATACTAAAAAAAAATCAATCAATTTCAATTTAAATAAGCGATGCATTACGTTTTATTATTAAAAAAAATATGGCAAAACGCAAACCAGTTTGTACGCATTATAATTATACTTGTGAAATAACAGGAATAGATGCCTTAATTATAGAATTTAAGGTAAGGTTCATTTATAGCAAATGCGTTTTGTTCAAGCGGATCGGTATTTAACGCTATTTAAATCACAGATAATTCTTCACAGCGATAATAATTTTTCAAATATATCGTAACATATGTTTTTCAAATTATCATAACGTTTTCATCGTTTCGATATATAAATTATACCTATTTTTTAGCTTGCTATTGTAAATAACGCAGCGTTAAATACTACTAGTTTGAACAAAATGCGTTTACAATGAATGAGGCGTAAAGATTAAAAATGCAACCGCTAGTTTACAAATGTAAAATAATATATATAATATTTTTTTCTTATTTATATGAAATCTTATTTTTTTAAAAAAAAGATATATAGGGCAAGCAACCAATGACATATATAATACCTAAACTGACGATTCATTCATTAAAATGCATTTTTAAGCGTCGTTAAAAGCAAATCAGCTGGACCCGCCATTTTGGTAACACATGTAATTATTCTCATGTTATAAACTACAATTAAATTGATAACTTACTTCCTTATTATCTCGATGATCCGGTAATTCTCTAATAAAGTTTGCATCAGATATAGGAATAAATTAGGCTCATTATAAAATTTTAATAATGATTAGTGAAACAAAGATGGCGTCTCCAGTTGATTTGCATTGATGTACACTTTTAATGAATGAATCGTCAGTCTAGGTATTATATATGTCATTGCAAGCAACTAAGTCATCCGTCATTGTTAATTTCTAGTTCTCATAGTTCGATATAAAAATATTTTATCCGCTTGAAATTGAATGATGTTAAAAATAAGGTATTATCCGTTTTTGTTTGAAATAATAACTGGGATAGAACCCTCCCAAAAATGTCTATCATAAAATTTACAACTCTCATTATTTCGAGAAGAAAAAAATTATTAACCAAACAACATTATGCATTTTAAATAAATAATTAAAATTTTCAAAAACCTTGACAGGAAATTTAAGTTGATTATAAAGCTCCGACATTAGCAAAGCGTGCGTCAACGTTTTACGCGTTTTCATGGTTCTCACTATCGCCGCGTCTATTTGGTATTGCCTGTCTTGAAAAACTCTTTCTTGAGTCGACGTATTTTCTTCTTTCTGCGCAGACCCATAAATAGGTAACAAATAACATTTTATTCTTTAAAAAAAATCTTCGAGAAGAAAAAAGAAGAAACCTAACGTGGGTAAATGCTATAATTTAATTTCTTTCTTTTTTAAAAAATCCCGCTTTTTGATAGCTGCCTTTTCTAATATTTTATTCTCAAAAATATAAATTACAAATTTTAGTACCGTTTCTTTCATCTGAATCTGATTTATTTTGATACGGAAAAGTTTATGGCTAAATTTGGGGTTATAAGCGAACACGTCGGTTTCTTCGACGTCTTTTCCCTTTATAATTTTTTTTAAAAAAAAGTAATTATTACCTTTTATTTTTTTAATTTTATATTAAGCTTTAAATTTATTTTTCATGCACCTAAAGTTGTTTGAAGGACAGTTATCAAAAATAAATTAGAGCTTAACAAAGAGTAAAAGTTTTAAGTGAAGGTAGTAAAAAAAATTACCGATTAATTTTTTCTTCTTCTAAACGATTAAAATATATCAATCAAAAAATTATATATGGCATCAGATTTAATATAAATCAATAAGGAGTAAGCAACTTCGTTTTCTTACTAGACAAAATAGTGGCAAGTGGGCAGATTCTATAAAAAAAATCATTTAACAGCTTATGACATTTACAGAGCCTTTTTTTTACGTTTTAAGACTTTCAAAAGTTACAAAAAGGAAAGAAAAAAATTCAAATACAATAGATGCAAAAGCACTAGGAGACCCCGTCGATCTTTTCTGCTAATTTAAGACCCGAAAAACCTCTTTTAATGTTGTTAAAACACAAAAAAAACGAATATGTAAATAATTAGGTATGTAAAATATGAGATAACTTAATTAAAATGTGCTATTTTTTAAAAAAAATTAACCAATAGGAGTTTGCCAGTTTAGGAAATTTATTTAAGTTTCTATTGAAAAATCAATATAGGTTATAAAAGAAATTATCATTTTAAACGTAGTTAAGTATGATCAAAATTTATAATTTTTTTAAAAAAAATCCTGTCACTTTTCGCTTCTAATCTATTTTTAATTACAAATGTCTAACAACACTTTAAGACAATTGCTTAGATTAAACAAAACAAAAAAAAGGTTAATGCAAAATTTACTTGGGGAATCTTTTTCAAAACCCTGGCTTTACCACAAGCCAAAGATTGCAACGTCCGTCTTAATTCTTGAATTTCTTCGAAACAAAATTAAATTGTAATTAATAATGTTTAGCTAATTTATATATCAAAATAAATAAATAAATATATATTTATTTATTTATTGTAATTATGCTTATAACTGAAAATATATATAAAAAGTTGATATTTTTTCTGATCTTCTCTTAAGTATCATTTTATATCTAAAAAAACTTCTTTCTTAAAAATAAATGTCATTAGTTATTAAAGATCATGTTCCATCAGTTCCGGGGTCTGGTAAAAAAAATATATATTTTCAAATAAATAAAAATTGTAGCAATTAGATACATGAGTAAACCGATTATTATCGTTAAATAATTTAATCGTGCCGGTCAGAACCGTCTTTAAAAAAATACTATGAAATGTCAAGACTGTCATAATTTCATAATAATTTATGGCCAATTGTTCTATTCCGACGAGGATAAATAACAAAATAATCGTTAACCTATTGAGGTCGCGATTTTTATTTCGTCAAATGTTAGTTGGTCTTGTTGATTGAAAAGAAGTAAGCATAAAGCCTGGAATAAAGAAACTTGCAACTCCTTTTTAACTGAGCCCTTATTGAGATATAATATATTAATAACATAACAGTTATAGTTAAGTTTTATGCAAAATTTTTTATAAGATGCAATTTTTAAAAAGAGATTTTTCTTTCTCTTTTTCAATTTTTTCTTCTCTCTCTTTCTTACCTACCTACCATTCTTTCTGTTTTACAAAAATGGAAGTGGATTTTTAGAAAGTAACGATTTATAAATATTTAAAAAAATTCAAGAAAAGTAAGGATAAAGCCTGGAATAAAGAAACTTGCAATTCCTTTTTAACTGAGCCCTTATTGAGATATATTATATTAATAACATAACGGTTATAGTTAAGTTTTATGCAAAATTTTTTATAAGATGCAATTTTTAAAAAGAGATTTTTCTTTCTTTCTTTTTTAATTTTTTCTTCTCTCTCTTTCTTACCTACCTACCATTCTTTCTGTTTTACAAAAATGGAGGTGGATTTTTAGAAAGTAACGATTTATAAATATTAAAAAAAATTCAAGAAAAGTTTAATTATTATCACTGGCGCGAATTTAAGTATGGCTCCATAAAATAAAATAAAAAGGTATTTTTGTTTTTACATTTTCAAAACTGGCTTTTAATACGCAATGGCCAAGGGTAGACTGCCATCTTAACTTTCTGCCCGTATGTTTATTCAGGTAAAATTTTTGGAAAGATTCTTGATATTCAGACATCTTTTATATGAAAAAAAAATAAATATTACAGAAAAATATTTTTTTCGCATGATAGCAAATTATATGATATGCGATTCTAGGCCATAAATATAGGTAGAAAGGTATAGGGTAATTTGGGAGCTTGGACCTTTTCAACTATGACCGTGAAATTGTTTTAACAAAATTCGTTCCATACCAATTGATAATATGCAATTAAAAGTAAATTGTGAAAAAAAATGAATTAAATATTATATAATTTTTCCTATTTACTATATCTATTTATATATATACATTTGCTTTAAGTGATAAATAAACTATATTCTAAAATTAATGTAAGATTTTTGAAAAAAAATTATATACAATATAGTATGTATACACGTTATTTTCGCCGAATATATAAATATTTACAAAATTTTCAAAAAAAAATGATCCAACGTTGAGCCCCATTACACCTTTGAGGTGAAAATTTACAGTGATATATAACCTAATTTTTTTAGAAATATTTGTTAATAAAATATCAGTATTTTTTTATAATTTTAAAAATGAATTGAAATTAATAATTAGTTTCAAAAAATAAAAACCGATTGCACAATACATTTATTATACCTTAGGTGGCATAACAACTTCCATTGGTGCATAAGTGGGCCAATATCCCATAGTTAGGATGTTTACTGTCAAGTCTATGTCCTCGGATAAGGGATGATTTTTTAAATACTGTATATAAAATTAATGATTTATAATAAACAATGCATTTTATTTTAAAATGTGGCATTATTATTCTTTCTTTCCTTCCTTCTTTCCTTGGTAAGTGAATTAATTATGCTTTAAATGGAAATATAAAATAATTTGATATGTTATTCTTTAAGTAAAAAACTTGTTTAAAGGTGATCATAATGTCTTTTGAGAGGTCCATATCTTTAAACATTCCTTCTAGCTTGCAGGTATATCCACCACCGCATTCTATTGGAACGTATATACAATTATAATAACATAGTAAAAGTTTTATCTAACCGACTATTTCATTAACCGATTACACTTTATAAATGACTACTCTCATATCACATTTCATTCAAGTAAATAATGTTCAGAAATTCTAATTCTGGCGAAGGAATATATAAAATCTTTTATTGACCCAACTGAAATCTTTTTAAGAAAATAACTAGTAAATAATATCGCGTTAAGGTTTTGGACCCGCCCATTTTATTTTAAAATGAACTAGGGCTCACCATCTTGCAATGCTATTATATTTTTCTATTAAAAATCTTTAAACCAGCTTAGTAGTAAGCGTGTTCAAAGAGTTATTATTATTAATCTTAATATTTTCTTTCTTTCTAATAAGTAGTTACCTTGTTTGAGTTTGGACAACATAGACTTCTCGGCATCGACCGATGCGCTTTTACCGACTAGTAGTCTCTTTGCCAGATCTTTTTTGTAGAATGCTTCAAATACGTCCTTGCCTAACGGATTAATTTATAAAATATATATACCATTTTTGAGAGGAGGGAATGTAAGTAAAATAAACTCATAACTTTTTTGGCATTTATTAACCTTGCCACCAACTATGAATCAACGAAACGTCTCCTGGGCTAAGTGTATAAGTAGCGAAATCGCCCAATTTTAATTTTTCCCATTTCCGATATCAAAATTAATTTTATTATCATCATCTCGCATTCCTCTCGCATAATTTCAACAAACAAATGCCAGGCTTGCCTTCCGCAGACTTCCATTTACACCACTATAACTTTATTTCTCTTAATCCTTCGCTTCCAACTATAACCTTTATATATATTTTAAACCTTTCCCTTCCATAACAATTCTTAATCCAAGTAATTTACTCTTGAATTCTGTTTCACTCTTTGCTATCAGTAAATCATCGGCATATAATATTTACCACGGGAGCCTTTCATGCATTCCTCTAGCTACTATCTCCATTACTATAATAGAAAGTTTAGAACTGAAAACGGACGTACCCAATCATTGATTAAAAATTTCTACAATTGAACCACAGTTTATGCCTCTTCATACATCACCATCAAGGCATATACTAGCCTCCAAGCCTGACTTTCTCAGGGTCTACTTCGATCTTGCATTGTACTTGCTGTCAAAAAGAGAAGTCTGCAGAAGGCAAGCGCGATATTTATTTGTAGAAAGTGGATGTAAAATAATGATAATATCAATTTTAATATCAGAAATAGAACAACTTTGGACAGTGGGGAAGTTATGCTACTTAGGGGAACGGAGGTGGCCATGATTAGATATGCATGAAAGGTGATCCCAATTCCAACTAATAAGAATTTCTCGCTAGCTGTGTGAGAAGTTGTATAATACACGGCAGCGAGGGGCAATTAAGGTGAGATGAGAATAGTTAGATGGAAATATCTCTGGGAAAGAAATGAGAGAAGGGATTGGGAGAAATAGGCAGAGATAATTTGGACATGAAGACAAAGGACGATTGGGGGAATAGATATCATCTAGAGGAAGTAAGAAATCAAGACCTAGAGGGTTACCTAAGACAAGTTAGGCTGGTAGATAATAACATGAAAATGATAGACTTAACCAGTAGTAATGCCAGGACAGCGAAAACTCGAGACAGAGAGGAAATACCCTGGAGAACCTGGAAAAGGGCCGCTAAACAAAGAGAAGACATTCATTTTAAATTTTAAAAATTGTTTTTACAACATTATAAAACAAATGTATAAAGTAAACAAATCAATGTGGCTGATAGGATATACGCCACCATATATGGACCCATTAATTAATCTTATAAAAATTGTAAAAAAAAAATCGCAGCGTATTAAAATATATTAACACATTATAGTAACGAATATACATATTATAAGTGCATACCGTGTATAAAACGGAAAATTACCATAATTTTGTCCAAAATTTTTTCTAATTCGTCTTCAGTTGACTCCTTGTTAATTAAAAAATAATAATAATTAAATATTATATTTACAATGTATTAAATTTAGCTTAAAAAAAAGTTAACAGACTTAATAAGGAGAAGAAAAAAAAATTAAAATATAAGTGTATACAAAAATGATGTTGGGTAAACATTGTGGAACTTTGATAATAATTAAACTTGAACAATCTTTTTTTTCTACGCATTGTCAAAATGTCAACTATATATTTTTTTTAAATTTTTTAATCACACCACTATTTGTTTGACAAAAATAAAAACTTCTATCAAGGACCTGCCAGTTCTGCTCGGAAATTCGGTTTGTAAAACGGCATGATTTTAAAAATCCGAGCGAATAGAAGAAATTTTAAAATCCGGGTTTGGCCCAGAAAGTCGATTTTTACTGATTATGTAGTGCTGTTAGACGGTTCAATTTAGCCGATTTGTTAAAATGGGCTAACTCAGAATTTTACTTAAAAGGTAAATTACCTAAGCTTGGAAATTCCGCTTATAGATGAGTAGAAGGATCTGGATCTATTGACGAAATTTCAAGGCTTTAGCCGTTTTTAGAAATAAGCTAAATCGAGCCGTTTTAAAATACTAGTCATATGGTTCATAAAATTATAAATACCTAAATTTAAAAAAAATATATATAATTACCTTATTGCCGGCTCTTAGTTTGAGATCGACATATTTTGCTATAAATATTATTTTTTCAACAAAAATTAAAATATTTTATAATACAAAATTTTTTAAGATAGCATGTTTAAACAAAAAGATGATAAATAAATCTAATACTGTATTTTTTAAAAAAAAAGTATTATTAAATGTTTGATACAAAATGTCATTTGGAAAAAAAACTACCATATTATCATTATGGTGACATGAAACAAAGCTGGTCTCATTCTCATTCATTAAATGTTGACAAGAGAGAGACCAGAGAGATTAATTGAGCTAAAGTTTCTTTCTATCTTTAACTTTTCTTTACTTCCTTATCTATTTTTAAATAATAGTTCCATCTTAAGTTGATGTAATAAAGATGTTATATCCAGTAATAACACATTATACAAGTAATTACAACACGTAAAATAAATAATAACATAGCGTTGTTAAAAGGCTCGATTTCTAAAAGCGGCTATTTTAGCCAAACATTTTATACAAGCCTCGATAAAAACCTTTCTATCATCTATGATTAAAATCTACAGACTTGCGTAATATTTTTTTTAGTTAAAATATTAGGCCAGCCGTTTTCAAAAATTGAGCCGTTTAACAACTTTAATGATGATTTGAAAATATGAACCGATAAGCTCGGCGGGTTTATTGGGTCTTTGGTTGATGAAATTTTCGAACGATTCTTTGACGGCGAGGGTAAATTTTTCATTATAATCAAAGCAGTCCTCGATCAAATCATCTAATCTTTCCTTGAAATCCAACAAATCCTGAACCATCGATGCGTCCTGATCAGAATCCATGACTAATTCTCGCCCTTTAACCTTTTGAATATTTTTGTTTTATAATATACAATGAAAAATACTTTCAAGACATCTAGTTTTTCTTGAGTATTTTATGATTTCATTCTTTAATTACAAATTTACTCTGTCGATAAGATTTCAGGCGGTTGCCTGAGTCTGTTATTCTCTTTTAAAGAGTCATCTGGAACTTTTAAGTAAGAAATGTAAAACTAAAATTATTTTAAAAAAAATGTAATTGGGCCAAAAGCCTTCAAAAAAACGTGTATGAAACATTCCTATAAAAATTCCTTACCTAAAGTCCCTCTCCTGCAAAAATTCTGGATAGGTCTATCTATGCCAACCCATTAATATAAAAGTTTATACTTACATTTTTAAAATAAATTACCCTAAACTTTAACCCTAACATATTTACTAAGCTACATGCTTGAGAAAGTTGGATTCAGAAAAAAAATTGTTATAAGATAAAGCTCAAAACCTTAGAAAACTAACATGGTAACTGTTCAAATTAGACAAACCTGCAAAATATTGTTATAAACTGCCTTATAATTCTTAATAATTTTTCTAAGAAACTATGCATTATCATATTTTTTGAAACAAGATATCCTTTAAAATTTAATTCAACAAAATAGGCTAAAACCTATGAACTATAAGATAGGGATAAAAGTAATATTAATAAGGTGTAAATACTTTTTGTTTTGTTGGCCCTTTATGTGATATATATACACCCACCCCCCCCCCCAGAACCAAACAAAAATGCCCTAACAATGTTTTTCTAAATAAAAAACTATTTAGAATTCTATCCGGAATTAAAAACAGCTAGGCCATAGTTTCATTCAAATTTTTTTAAAAAAATTGTCAACAATATAAGATATATTAATAAATTTATAACTTATACTACTTTTATATATGCTGAAAAATGAGTGCATAGTTCTTTAAGCCCATTCGGAATCTTAGAGAGCAATTGATACATTAAAGCCAATTCTGAATACCTATTTTGATTGAGCATTGAGTCCAGACCTATTTTTTATAAAGGATTAAAATTATATCTCTAAAAAAGCCATTCTGGTAACGGTTTTTAGATTTCGTCCTGTTTCGATCATTAGATTAAATTCGGTTTCTGTAAACCTTAGTTATACCCTTTTTTAAAAAAATCCCGTTTATATTTCTAAATAGCTCCGATTCACATAAGGCCCGGTTTTAAGGGGAAGGGGGAGGCTAAAGCATATTATTTTGAATAATAAAAATTAACCTTTAGTTAACATTAAGTTAAGATGATCTTCCAACAATCTTCTTTCTACGGTCTGTATTAATAAGGATCTATATTAAATATTTTTTTTAAAAAAGTATTAATTCCAGTTTAATAATATGATCGATCATTATTACTTGGAGGAATGGTCTAAGTAATGAATAATTCTCTCATTTTCCTCGTTCAACCTCTTTTTAACGTAGTTGAGATAATCTGGAATCTTTAAAAATTATACTATTAATTATAAACTATAAAAGTTTATAATACAAATAAAAAATATTATCTTTGTTAAAATTTATTATAATACAAAATGTTCATAATATATTTTTTTTCGTTAATTTAAAATTAAATATACTTCCAACTCATTGATGTATTGCCGTCCTTCCCTGTCGTATAAGTCGTCGGTAGCTTTAATAAATGCGGGTTGAAAGCTTGAAGTATACATCTATAAGTTTTAATTTTTTTACAAAAAAATATGTATAAATAATTTTGTATAATAACAATATTTATTAAGAGATTCACTGTTCCAAATTTTTCTGCTGGTTCCAATTAGAAACCGGCAAAATACTATCCTGCTCCTGTGGAGGAAAAAAAATATTTTTTAGCTTACTTCATTCCTCATTTTTGTTTCTCATCTAACCTGGTTAATTTTTTCTTTTAATTATTGTTAATTTTATATTTATAATAGTTTTTTTATATATAGAAATGAATGATTGGAACAGCATTTAATATAATAAATTGATTCTTAGAAACGCTGATAATATAACACATCTCTAATATATATATATATATATGGTGAATTTCATATAAAATCAACAAAAAAAAGTCGATTCTCATTCTCAACCCGACCCCCTCAATTTTTTTTAATATATTGGTAGTATATACTATAACTAAAAGAAAAAAATGAAATTTTAGCTCCCAACACTATACTTATAAGATAAGTTATGGGCCTTTAAAGCGCGGAAAAATGGAATGCACCTCGTTTATTTTCAAATATCTCGAGATATAATTATGTAAGAGCAATAATTTAAATTTTAATCTATAGCTTAAAAATAGCTCTTTAATATTATATATAAATATGATAGAAATCTGATTAATATCTCGAATGTATAAAATCGAAAATAGCGATAGAAAAAAAAGGTATTTTTTTGCCTGTAGATAGATATCTACTTTTTTTATATTTATACAAAATCCGAGACTGGGCTGAATATGGGTCAAGGAGTTATGACCCTTTATATGGCTAAAATTGATCAAATTTAACATAAATATCATTATATTTAAATTAAATGAATAGTTATTGTTTAAGATGATTTCTCTTATTTTATCTTAAATTAGTTCCTTTTTTTATCACTCTTTTGCTTAGCCTCAAATACATAAAATCAAAAGAGTTTTTTTTAAGTCCCTTTTTTGTTTGATTTAATTAGAATAGAGGTAAAAACATATGGTTTTTGTGTTTTCTGTTAATCAGGGGTTTCTCATACTTTTAGATTCCTTAGTAAAGTGTTCAAATCGTTGTAGTTCTTATTGTGGCTGATTTTTTATTTATTAGGTAACTTTCTAGGATTTTCTGATATGATAATAATTATATTCAACAATTAAGTTTGAAAATAAAATATATGTGTAAAAATCTTCTAAAATATACAATTATTATTTTTTTTACATATCCTTGACACATAATTATAATAAAACCTTCAAAGAAAAAAAAATGTTACAATTATGACATCTCACCCCCCCCCCCCCAATGAGGAGGAGCTATTAGTTATTTTGCTGATTTTTTCTTCCTCCATTTCTAGAAGCACGTTTTCAAATTTTTGTACCCCCATAAACGAAGCGAATCTGAGTCCTTTTTGGTAACGTCATCATCGGTACATATTTAGGAATTATACCCGACACCGGCGTTGAAACAGATGCTCCACGGGTTCTATAATATGCTCCCGTGTTCCCGCTTTGGACATCCTATACGCTCTTCTGTTAGGAATGGATCCGATAGCTATACATTGCAGAGCCTTGTGCCCCAATCCTCCACATAAAAAACACCGAATATTCGCCGGAGGTGTACGTTGAGGAGCAACCATAATTATGCACCGGATGATGACGCTATCGAAAAGGGTAGAGTAGAGCAGTTCAGATTCGAAGTTTATGGAGGTACAAAAATATGAAAACATGCTTCTAAGAATGGAGGAAGAAGAGGTCAGCATATAATGGTTCCTCCTCATTGGAGGGGTGAGATGTCATAATTGTAACATTTTTTTATATGTTTTATTATAATTATGTGTCAAGGATATGTAAAAAAAAAAAAATTGTATATTTGCATTTTTTTTCCGATATAATTATTATTTTTGAAAAAAAAGAATTTAAAAATTTAATTTGAAAGTAAAATATTTATGTAAAAATCTTCTAATAAATCCTAGAAAAAGTTACATAATAAAAAAAAGAATCAGCCACAGTAAACTACAACATTTCATTAATTACAAATTATATATTTAGGTCGCGGACGTCCTGAATCCGGAGGTATAATTATAGAGTTCCTAAAAATATAGGGGGAGGGGGGGGTTTGGTTTTATCCCCAATTATGTAAGATAAAAATAATACTACTCCTCTTCGCGAAAACGTTCTTTTTTACACTTTGCGCCAATTTTATTTTAATTTATAATTGCGCCTTTTTATTTTCCCTATAAAAGGGACTGATTTTTATGTTCATGATTATCATATATTTTAGGTTATAAATTTATATATAATTAATTGCGTGTTATAAAAGTCTATTATTTTTACGATTTAATAAAATATTGAGTTCGGAAATATTTATAGTTGTAATTAATTGTATTTTATAAAGGTCTAATTTTAGATTATTTTTGTGGTTTGACAAAAAATTAATATCGAGTTAATCATGACCCTTTCCAGATCTCAAGGATTAGAGGATCCTTCAGTTTCCCATGAATGTAACATGATCAATGTACCGAAGCCCTGTTACTATGTAATATAATGTTATTTAAAAATTATGTCTAAATGATAGGCCCTTACTTTTTTTTTATCTTTAACAAAATTGCTTTATTTAACACTTTGGTTACATTTTCTCTCAAAATTACTTGACAAAATAATATTAAATATTTTATTTTTAAAATAATCAACCAAAATTAAAATTTCAATAAATGTCATCATTTTTAATCGATAAATTTACCTAGATATTGTAGTTTTCGTAACTCCTAATCTGTAGCTTTTGTATTAAACATAATTTAATTTAAAAAATTTCTAATTTATCATTTCATTTTATATAATAACTTCGAATACAACAAATTTAAAATAACCTTTTATCACCAATATAACACACTTCATCAGAATTTTAAGCTTATTTTAATAGGCGTGAAATTAAAACTACCAACCAATATTGATAATTATCTCCCTATCAACGATCATAAACACTGTATTGGGCAAAGTCTTTGCAATCCAGCCCAGCCAGGATATTATTTAATGAAGTATAAATTTTGCCCCGGATCTTCAAAAATAGAAAGACAATATATTATTTGACGTGAATTCAATAGATTACATAACATTTAAACAATGGTTGAAGTTGATCGCACTGCCCTCGAAGCGCTGTCAAAATCCGCCAATGAATTTGTAGATTATTTAATCGAAAAATTAAACCATTTAATTCCTCATTCGTTTATAGCTTCAGCAATCTTTATTTCAAAATTCTTTAAAATTCAATTTAAATGTTGGCGAATTTTGGGTTATTGCCAATTTTTCAGAAAATTATGCATTTGTAGTAAAGAACCATGCATAAGAATTCCATTGGACTAATAATCAGGCCACTATGAACCCATTTATGATTTATTATCGTGAGGACGACATTATAAAACATGTAAATTTTGTGGTTATATCAGATTGTTTAGAGCACAATGCATCATTTAATTTATTTCAAATAAAATTGATTCTAAAGAAAAATCTGGCAGAGTGGCCAAGATTAAAAATAAAAAACTTCATTAATTTCTACAATCATAAAAATAATTTTAAGATAAAGGGTGAGTGACATTTTTTTGCAACCGTTCATGGTAAAAGTCCTTGCTACAGTTTAAAGGGCGTTACTAAAAGGTCAGCAGTTCGAGCAAGCTTGCAGCAGCGCCCGTATGAAAATAAAATATTGATAACAATGGATTTATTTAACTATGCAAGAAATAATATCCATGGGGTAAATTATATATTTGCGAGCAATGATGAATATTTTCGTATGGAAAATCACCTTGAAAGCAGATTTTCGAGAGGAAAGCGATTTTCCGGAACACAAAAGTTTCATACTTTTATTCCCCTAGGCGAAAATAAAATAAAAGTCAAAATTCAATGAAATACTTAAGGTGATTTAATATATGATATATTTTAATAATATTTTAAATTATTGATTGTATTATATGTAATTATAGCAATAATTGAGCCAAATGAAGTCATAAATATGTTAGAATTATTTTGTAACATAATATCGAGTGAAATTTTAACCAGAGTGTTAAATAGGGCATATAATCCCACCCACCTCTCAAATATTTTGTTAAAGATAAAAAAAAAAGGTAAGGGCTAATCCTTTAGATATAATTTTTAAATAAATATAATTACAAAAATATTCATTAAATTTAAGATATTTATGCTAAATTTAGTGTTGTAAACGAACGCGTCGCGTCGTTAATGAAGTTCGTTTTTTTGGAAAAAATGATGAACGGCGTTCCTTTTATTTTTGACGAACTTTAAACGTGAACGCGTTCCTTTTTTATGACGAACGCGTTCGAATTTAACGTTCGTTCAATTTTAAAAATATTTTTATTTTTATTTATTTGAAAAATTTAATATTTCCGAATTTTTTTAAAAAATGTATTATTTATATTTTTTAATCGGCTGTGTATTTCCTTTTCACATTTCAATTTTTTTAACACATAATTTATTAATTTGATTATTGTTTATATTTTAATTTAATAGATTAGCATAAGCATGGATATTATTATTTAATCCTCATCATCTGATTCCGAAAATCCAAAATCAGATGAATTATCATTACTATGGCCAAATATGATAAATGTTTTACATTAACATCCTATATTGAAGGAACTAATCCAATGCGTGTAAAATGTGGCCAAAAAGTATTGTATTGTCAAAATCTTCAGGTTCCAATTTAAAACGACATTTGATTTTAATATTAATTATGATTTTATATGATTTAACTAAGTTAAATCATTAAATTTGAAGAAATAATGCATTTGGGATATTTGACCCCACATAATTAAAAAAATTAGTGGCCTCAAATATGGTCAACTATTGATAGACGCCGTATAAAATGGGATTAATATATTAAACCTATCACTCTCAATTATTACATATATTTTATTTTTTTAAAGATTTGAACATATATATAAGGATCAATATGTTCTTTCTGCAATTATAAATCCAGCATTCAAACTTCAATGGGCATGAATAAAACTTCCACAGAACGAACCTATTAAAAATAACCTTATAGCGTTATTGAAAAAAATGCTTTGAAAACCCTAGAGAACTGTTAATTTCGAGATATCCTTTTTATTTGTCGAGAGTAGAGAACGGATTGGAGGAGGATAACTTATCTCAATTTTTTGCAAATAACAAAACAATATGTTTTTAATTAATTCTCCACGTTAAAAGAGCTGTTTATTAAGTATAATACCGCAATTCCCTCATCCGCCCCTGTAGAGCGCGTTTAGGATAATGCCGTATTAACTGCCAAGTGTTCCTGTCTATCAGATAAATATTTTGAAAACAATTGTTATTAAAATTTTATAAGAAAAATTTTTTATAAATAAAAATATCTTTTTATTCGCTATATTATATTATCAAAATAAAACTATATTATTTTTTAACATGGCTAAAATATATTGTATTAAAAAATATAAGTTTATTTATATTAAATTAAATTTAAAAAAAATTTATCATAAAATTTTGAACGGTTTTATGAACGTGAACGCGTTCCTTTTTTTTGAACATGAACTTGAACGTGTTTGATTTTTGTCAATGAACGTTGAACACGTTCGATTTTTTTAGAAATGTTTACAGCACTAATTAAATTTGATCAATTTTAGCCATATAAAGGGTCATAACTCCTAGAATCATGTTAAGCCCAGTCTAGGACTTTGTACAAATATAAAGCAATGTGATATCTATCCCCAGAAAAAAAAACTATTTTTCTATGAATATTTCGGGTTTTATTCATCCGGTTTTAGATAATAATCAAATTTCTACCATATTTATTAATAAGTCAAATTAAAGAATTATTATTAGGCTATATAATAAAATTTAAACTACTCCTCTAACATAATTATTTCTGGCAATATTTGAAAATAAATGAGGTGGTGCATTTTGTCAAAATTGTATCATTTTTTTTGCTCTTTAAACGCCCATTTCTTAGCGAATAAGCAGTTTTTGGAGATAAAATTTAATTTTTAATCTTAGTTATAGTATATACTACCAATATACAATATTTAAAAAAATTCTGAAGGAGTCAGGTTGAAACCTAGGTTAATTTGATATGGAAGTTCACTATATATATTTTTAAAAAAACATATATTATACTTGTAGATCTAATAACATTCTTATTAAGTTTTTAAGGAGTGTTCTGTCAACATTTTCACCATGTCTTTCCTTTTCAATAATTTTTAGCATACTTTCTATGGTTCTGTTTAAAATATCGGTAACTGACATTATGTGTTTGTGAAACAATTCTAGACCTAAATCCCTTAATTGTTAGCATAAATATTTAAATATATAAAATAATAAAAATTAAGGTTATATAGATGATAAACATGTTAAAGAAGTAAGATATATATATTTAATAGCTAATGCATTGTAATTCTATTCTAATTGACTAACCATATATTGAGTATCATAGTGTTTTGCAAAACATAAGATGATCTATCAAGATATAAAAATATGTTGCTGATAATTATCTAAGTAAAACATTTAAAATAAATAACAAAAAAAAGAGTCTACCATCTGTTGACAAAACTTTCCCCAAAAAGTGTTCAAATTATTTAAGAAGCTGTTATAATCCATAAATTCTGTAAAATTAGATACTAGTTAAGGAAGTTATAATATGGCCTTACAAATACAATTAAACCTATTATATACTATTACTTTTCTTTAATGTAATAATTTAAAATTATATTAGAAAAACACAATTTAAGATATTTATCAGAGATGTAATGGAGTTCCACCCACTTATGACTAATAATAGAATGGGTGGGTGTGTATGGGTTTTTTAAAAAGATTATAAACATTGGGCAAGTGAGTATATGTTATAAAATAATTTAAACCAATTGGTATGAAGATATTTGGGTTAAACCCCACTTATTGCATACCTATAATTTGCAGACCCCACCTTGAACAGGCCGTAAAATGGTATGATATTAAAAATCCAGGCTAGACTTAAAAATAAAATTACAAATCAGGGCCAGGCCTAAAAATGATTTTATTAAACAAAATTCAGGCTAGGCCAAATAAAGTTCTATCAATTAACCCTTCATAGCAAAAGTGAAAAATTTTTATGAAAGACTAAGTGGAGTTTCTTGGACCCCAATTTAGGTACACATTAAATAAACTCTAATTTAGTGACTTGGTTATTTTTTTTAATTGTTATTTTAAAATCTTATGGTAGCTTTTACCAAGATTCAAAAAAACAAAAAATTATTTAATTGTTGAAATTTAAAAAGTCCAAGCTTTAAATTGATTAATTAAAAGTTTCCTGCTATGGCAGGCTCAAAAATAAAGTTGCCAGGGCTGGGCCAATATAAATATTAAAATGTAGGGGGTCAGGTTTGAAAATGGGGTAAAAAAAAATTTTAATCTTGGGTATACCAGGCTTTAAAACTTGACATATGTAATTTTTAAAAGGTTTTAATCAAATATTATATGATATTAAAAAAAAGGATATCCCTTGTATTTTTCTATATTTGACAGAACATAATTTTCACATATAGTTTTTAGTTCTTGATATAACTGTGGTGCCATATTTTGAGCACATAAAATTTCAACACCTTGGTATAATTCTTCCAATGTACACTTAACAGCACGGTTTTCATTTACAGCCATGATTGCATTCTTTAATTTATTCATTATTTCAGGTTGGTAATTATTATGTGTATCTGGCTTGTCTGAAAAAAATAAATATATAATTTACTTTTTATCATATGAGAACCTTTGAGATTTTTAATTATAAGTTTCTTTGCCCCACTTCCAATTTTATTATTTGTTATTGATGTTTTAACTCCATTAGAATTTATAAGGTTTGAAAAATTTGATTGCTTATTAAAAATATCATTCGATATACCTTGATAATATATAGTATTTGGGCTATTTATAATATTATTAGGCATTATAATGTTTAAAGAAGCTAAATTTGGTGATTTTTGAATTTTAAGTTTTTTATTCTTGTGAAAACAGTCTGAATCTTCGGCTAAATCTAGGTGTTTATTAGTGAATTTATGTTTTTCCATTTATTTCCTATCTTATTGGATATTAAACAACAATGTACCTGCATAATTAAGATTTGTCATTAATTAACTATATCCCATATGTTATAACTGAAATGCGAAAGTGTTTTGACAAAATACCGAAATATAAATTTTATATAAAACTAACGAGATTCGCATTTCGCAGTATTTTATATAAAAATCTTTTATGTGAATGTTAAACTAACTATTCTTTATAATTAACAGATGTTTTTTATTATGAAAAAGTGGATTGAAATAAAAACAAAATACGAATACCAAATTGGAAAACGTTAATAATATTATAATGGTAAAATACTTAATAATCAAGTATAAATTATATATCATTAAAGGCCATTTTAGGTTTCGAAGTAGTCTTTTCTATTACTCTTATAAGTTTTTTTCAAAAAATAAATAAATTTTACTCACTAGGACAAGCCATTCTTACTCATAAGTAAATTTCTATATATTATCTATTTTTTATTTTGTAAAGATATGTTTATATTTTATGACATTTTACTTCAAACCATAATATTTTATAAGTTAGGTTTTCTAATGCATACAATTTATATTAGATAAATCTGAATCTAAAAAAATAATATTATAAACTATGATTGTAATGTTAAATTAAAAATAATATTTTTTAAAAAATTAATATAATATATGCTGCCATTAGATATGAGATGGCCCATCTTAACTTTTTAGAAATAATAGCTTATTAGCTTCTTTTCTACTTTATATATATTTTTTAAAGAATCTCTCAAATTTTTTTTTTTTAAATTTTTAGGAAAATTATAAATAGCTTATTAATAATTAAATTAATGTTTCTGATCATTATATATTCTTCATATTAAATCAAGCATCAAAAATAATATTTATTTCACATTAGAACTCTACTGAATTACTTAAAAAAAATTTAACATAAATATATATGAAAAAAATTATTTGCACAGAATATATCGATATGAATCATCTTCCACACCCACTGAATCTAAACCTTCTACTTCCTTAAAACGTGTCCCACTGACTCCTGGCTACCTATTATCAATACCTTTTTATCCTACCGCTGAATGGCTGCTAGACTTTTGCTTTGTAACTGCTGGAATCTTTAATATTTCTTACATAGTTTACAGGATTTATATAGGATGGTTTATAGGTATAATGTTTATTAGTGAATGGGAAAGATCAGTCCATCATGTCTGGTCTTTTTATTTTTTGGGATATGACTCCTTTTAGAACTAGTTTCTAGAATTAGAAATATGATTCGCTTCTTAACAGAAATTTTAAAACTGGGCCATAATAAAAAAAATTGAAATTTTTTGGCCTTAGATGTGTCCTTAAGACGTATCATAAAATATGAACATTTTAGTACCAATTTTTAAGAATCAAATGATATAAGGCAGGTATGTTGTTCTGGAGCCTCCAGACATATTTCCCATCCAAAGCTAAGTGATATAACTCAAGGCAAATTTTCCCTATAGTTTCTCCAATTTATATTATCTGTTTATTAATCAAGTAATCACGATTTTTATCATATTTTACTAAAATATTTTTTCTTCATGGTTTATAAATATTAATTGTTTTTGTTTTTGTATCTATAAGTTCATTCTTGTTAATATAATAATAGCTCAACTCAAGTATTGTTCATCTGAAGAAAATTTTTTAATTAGTGCCAGAATATTATAATCATGTAATAATGAGGTAAGAATAAGGAATAGGATTAAATGTTAGAGAGATGTGGGATAGGTATTTACTCAATAAAATTTTGTTAAATAGTGAATATATAAGGATTAATATATAGAAACTGAAGATTAGATCAAAATAAAAATTTGACCCTCATTAGTGATGGGTAGACAAATATAAGTGCATTATGAATTTTATCATATCAATCCCAAGTCTCATAGTGACATTCATATGCAAGAATATATATCTAATGAATTTTATAAAGTAATTGAAGAAATAGTAAACACAAAAATTAATACCTTATAACTGATAATGCAAGTAATTTTAAGAAAGCATTAACAATTGATAAAAGTCTAACTACTTAATGCATTGGGTATGGAACTCAAGGACTTAATTTGTCTTCAAAAATTAGCAAATAAAATATTGCCAATTCAAATTTTACTAGCAAAGGCGAAAAGTATATAAAATTCAACAAATAATTAAAATATCATACTTCTTTAAATAATGTTAATGATCTATTTTTCAATAAAACATGAAGAGAAAAAATCAATATCTGATAAAAAAAAACTTTAAATGAAATCTTATCCCCTTCCTCTTTTTTTCCCCCAAATTTCCTGGGAAATTTTTCTTAATTATAGTTTATGGAAATTTACATCCCTATACTAACGCCTATTATTATACTACTATGTTGGACATTTAAAAAATTTAGTTTTCTTATTTTTTTGTCAACTCAACATCACGCAATTAAATATTTATTAATTTTGATGATTTCTATTTAATAAATAGACATTTTTTATTAGCCCCAAACTAAGTCAATTAAAAAAATTTTTTAACTATATCCTTAAACTTGATTTTTTTAAAGAAACCCTTTTTACTTATCTAATTAGAATATTTATTATTATCGTTCATTAACCAAACTTTATCCATTTTACCCCGATAATTCAAGCCTCCCCTCTACAAACATCTTCAATACACCCTCCTCTCTTAGATTTAACTCTTGTATGGAACATTTGCACTCTTGGATTTGCCCTCTCTGCTCTAATCCGACCTCTGATAACTTATCCACGTCATGAAAAAACGTTGCTAATAATCGCTGGCATAATCTCGGCTCTTTTATGTTTGGCCATCAGTTTCTATATCGACTTCAAACATAATTATTTTATAACTGGAATATCGGATACGGGGAATAGTACGGTTAACGCAGCGGCCGGCGAGTCTGGCGAAAAAATAAATAAGGAGTTCGTCAGTTACGAAGGATGGGATCAATATCGAACCACAGAAAGGGCATGGCTTAAAAATTTTAAGTTATAATCCTTTTTTGAACATAAATAGTTTCCCATCACTATAAACCCTCATCGGGTTCAATCTTGCTTGAAAAAATTCCGCTAAGCGAGACAAGTTCATTTGTTTACGCTTTCTTCAAAGTTCAGATAAATTTGGAAAAATAGGCCTTGATAATATTTCTGCCGCTAAAACTGGGTTTATCCTCTTTTTTGTCAACAGCTAAAAAGTGGCGAAAACTGCAAAAGAAATACCCAACTATTTTTCGTAGTAGGGTAGTAGTATTCAAAAACGAATACAATTCGATTCTTTTGAATAATTTACTATTAGTAATCAGAGACCTGCAGGTCTGACCCTAAGCCCGAGTACACGTGCATATATTAAAAATTGATATATCGTCGGATGAGTACTTTAGTGTTCTATGTCCATTTTTTTAAATTGTTTAGAAAAGCATTTAAAAAAATAATAATTATTTATTGTATATTTAATAGAAATTAACAATGTAATAATGCAAATAAAGGACTGTAACATTTTTATTGTAGACACATAAGAATATAGCAAGAAATAAAGAAAGAAGTACAAAAAGAAAGCATTATACAAAAAAGTGGATATATTACATTACACAATACTCAGCTGGCGATATAATAACTAATATAAATTAATGAATATTAGAAAGGTTCACTGCGAAACTGTTTGTAGTTCAAAAGTGGTTTACTCTTATTCCAATAAAATGAAGCCTTTTAAAATAAAAATGGCGTTCCCTATATGATCCGCTACGCCATTTTTTAAAAAAATACGGATAATTCAAGATTTAGTAGATTATACCTCGTGTATGACTTTCAAAGCAATGCTTATAGTAATATCTTTTTGGCAACTATATTTTACCATAAATGGAGGTCTGCAATGGTTGCCCACCTGACCATTTATTTAAAAATTTTGTATAGCCTGTCGGCCTGCCCAATGTTTTAAAATTATTTGTATGGTTAGTTTTTGGTTTTTTAATTATTTTATATTCAAATATTTATAATAGATAAAAAATAAGTTTTATTAAATATATGCCTGTTTCTGCTCATTCCCTCCTGTTTTTAAATATACCTATGTAATCCGCTCGCCTTTTATTTGATTGTTTAGTTCTTATTTTCGTTTTTTCCATAAACTGATAAATATGTAAATATTATGAAATAAAAAAATTAATTTTTAATATATATAAGACTCACTTATCAAATAATTCAAATTCATCTGCTACTCACCTATTGCTTTAAATATTTTTTTAAACCCCTCCTCAATAGTATGGGCCAACACGGGTCGGCAAACTTGCCGGTTTGTAGACATTTAATATCCAGCATTAACTCGCGTTATTTCTTCATATCACCTTTAGATCTTACCATCTCAAGGCAGGGGTTATTATTGTTCTAGTCTTAGGAAACTTCAATAAAGTGTTGTTTGACGTTTATATATTTTTAAAATGAAATATTCATAACATCCATCGCTTCAACTGTAGAATTATATTACATATATTATTTTGCTATTCGCCTAAAAACCTTTCGCTTTATGAGCATCAATAAATGCTAACAAGAACCAATGAGCACCAACAAGCGCCAATGAATGCTAACAAGCACCTGAGTGCCAAAAAGCGCCAAATGTTAATTAGAAACCGCGGATTTATTAGCCATGCCCCCAAAAACTCTAATTTAAATAGCTGAATACTAATCGTTAATAAATCCACGTTTTTATTTGTGACTTGCTGGCACTCATTACCACATGTTGGAACTCATTGGCGCTTGTCGCCATTCATTAAATTGTTGTTCCTTAGGCAAAAAGTCTCAAGGGAAACGCACCTCAAATATTGGTAATAAATTGGGGTGCTAACTGTCTAATTGAATATATCGGAGTGAGAAATTATTAAACCTAATAGCCGGTCTGAAGCACGGGGCCGTACAACTTGTACATAATATATATTACAGGACGGGTCGGGTAAAGATTATTATAGGTCTAGCCGAAAACCTAGCTATCTCTAATTTGAATTAGCTCAGAAGCCAAAACTACTTTATATCTCGAGATCCTATATTTTTATATTAATAAACTCAGAGAAATACGATTTAAATTGTTCTATCACTTTGTCCTTTCCTTATGCTCCGCTATACTGGGAAGCATGATATTTTTCCCGTGCCTACGATGGGCGCAGATGTTCATAGACGCTTACGGCTATTCTAATCGCTTGGATCAAAAGTTTATATGACTTTTATATTCTGTTTTTTAATTATATATTTTTTTTCAAATGAGTTAGTTATTATTTTTTCTCTAATTGATCAAAAGAAAGATTACAGTGTTCTTATAAATATATTTTTTCACAGTTGGCATTCGGTCAAATATTAGTCGAGTGCCAATTGACCGATAATATTTGACCGAATGCCAACCATTCTAAAATTGTTATTCAGGGATATGTTGATTTTAATGATTCGAAATACATTGTTAACTTGTGAAAGACTCAAATAACGTTGATGATTAAGGAAAATCAACAATCATGTTTACCGTACTCTTATGATTTGATATAATTTCAAGGATTCAGTTTCCGGTTCTAAACTCTGTTATAGGCAACGAGGAAAAAAATTGAAACGCTTAAAATAAACCCTTGAAAATCACACAATACATTCGCTGGAACCAGTTTGGATTCCTGGAATTCTTAAAAGGGGTTTTGGTACCGTTTTCTAAAAAAATATTTAAAAGAACTCTTGTTTCCGGTTCCTAAAAAAACTTATAGAAGGGGCATTTTTTCAGGTTCTTGAGAAAAAAACCTTAGAGGTCCTGTTTCCGTTTCCTGAATAACAATTAATAGAAGTCCTGTTTGGGGTTCCTAAAAAAATTTATGAGAGGGATATTCGACAACCGAATTTTGCTTGTAGATATATATTATAAATTATATATTTTAACAATATTTATATTTGATTTCGATTTATAATTAAAATATTTATAGATTCTTCCTTTTCCTAAATGCTATTGGTCCAGGCATTTCAACTTTATTTTGGTTTTTTAAACCGCTCCTGTTAACTTTTACATATAATCGTTATGATGATACAACACCGTTATTAAAGTACTAAAAAAATTTCATTTATATAGGTATTCATATTTAGATAAAAGAAAATTAATTATTAGTTAATTTTCATCAAAAATAAGCATAATTAATAATTAACCTTTGTCTTTAAATGCTCATTTACAGTCAAGATTTAGCATCGAAATTCGTAAAGTTAAACATTATTTGGCTCTATTCGCATATAATTTTTGGTGTGCTGCGTGTTGCTTTGTTAAGGCCTCATATTCAAGCCTACCTCTATATGGCTTATGAAAAAGTCCAAGCCATAAATAAAAAGGAAAACACATCTGCTCTCGCATTTAACAAATCCGTTAAAAATGCCGTAAAATTTTATATGTAGTTAAAAAAAATGTTCATTTTTTTTAAACTTAAACTAGTAATCCTTTCTAATTCTATTTACATCGCGAATGAAATTACAACATATTAAAAAAAAAATTGTATTTAATTATTAGACACAAAAATGGAATTTTAGTTGTAATATGCGATTTGTGAGGCAGGGTAGTTTTAAGGAGGGGAGGGGGAATTAATAGAAAGTTTGAAAAAAATTAATTTGTATAATTTTAAGGTCAAAAAAATTAATTTGTATTTTTTTAAGGTCAATCGTATCAATTTCTACCTTGGTATAGTATGCATACAATACATCGTTCCAGTGATAATCAGTTCATCCTTGACCTATATCTTATTATCACGTGAGAAATACTATTTAAAATATAATATAATTATTACACATACTGTTTTTATAAATCAGTAAATCTTCAAAAGATGGCTGTAAGCCTATTCAAAGATCAATCGCATTTGATTCTTTTAAACGGAATGAATGATTTACTATCTGTAATTATATTCGAATAACAATACTATATTTTAATATTCGTACGTTCGAAAACAAATAGTGAATCATCGGATTCGTTGAAAAAATCGAATACGAATAATTCGTTATTTAGTATCGAGATCGACTTAATTTTAGAATGCTCTAAAAAAAATTCAGCAACAGATGCGTCGATTTATTTAAAGACCGATAACGAAAATGGGAGCGTGAATTTAATTGGCGATCAAACAAATCTTCATGATCAATTGAATTCTAGCCATTTCATTGATTTAATAACTCGATGGACACACCAAAACGCAAGCGCTTTATCGCCTCCTTTCAAATTATTAATATTCGATCCTTCCATTTTGAAAGCTCCCGTTACTCAAATACTATTCATGTTCGATGTTTTAATGTGCGTTTTTGGTATTTTCGGGTATTGTTATCACAAATATAATTAAGACATGGAAAAAATGTCGGCGGTATACTTAGTTAAGCAGAGCATAAACTTATAACCACCTTGAAGAATATATATTTTTGTTTATAGCCAAATATTTATTAGTTTTTTTACATGGTTTGTGAATCTAGTTGTGCAAAATCGCTTCATTTGGATTTTTTAAAAAACGGCTAACTAAATCTTTTAACCAGAAAAATATTGCCTAAGTCTCGTAATTTCTCTAATATATGTCCAAACCTTTTTGCCATCTATGAGCAAAATCTTCAGACATGCGTAATATTTTTCTTTACAGAATATTGAGTTAACCATTTTTAAAAATCAGATTAAATGGAACAATATTGCACCACTATGCGTATTTCTTGTTTTGATATCTATTGTATAAATATAAATAAATTTTATGTTGATGATATATTTTATTTTGTGACACGATTATTTTCATTAAAATCTAAAAAATTATTTATTGTATTTTTAAAATGAGTTAATGCTAACTAAAACTTTTTTAAAAAAGAGACGCTAAAAATTAAAATGATTGTTGGCCCGAAATTTTGAAAATATAAAAATTCGTAGTGGATCAAGCCATGTCTAGTTTTTTCTTTAATCCAACGAAATTATATTTTATTTAACTAGTGCGTTTCAAAATTTTTATGGTAATATTCACCAAATCCATATATTATTTAATGTTAATTTTAGAGTAAAATAAACCTTACAGATTATTGGATAATTATCCTGTGTTTAACGGACGAAAAATCGAACGGGTCAGAGTCCATCAGATGATTCTATTCATAGGCGTATATAGATTTTCTACCATAAATTTAATTGACTTTTTTAAAATAAAAATACCATTTCTAGAATTCAAAAATTATTAGCTTAAAATAATATTTAGAATAGACAAATTACTGGTGGGGCCTATGGTTATATATACTATTACTTATTTATGAGATATTGATCATAATAGTATTCAAAATATATTTCGTACAGATTGGTAATCAAAGCTAAGAAATGTTAAAAATTATATTAAAGCAAATGTATTATTTAATTTTAATTTAAGGTATTGAAATGGGTTTGAATGAGAATATATTCTTAAAATAGGTTTATGGTAGGGTTATTAAAAAACACGATTCGGGTCTATTTTTTAAAATTAAGATTTTAGTCAAAATAATATTAAGTAAACCTCAAACCTTTTTGCCACCTATCCATTTTGGGGACAAAGTTAATCGGGTCATCTTTAAAAATCGACCCAAATCAGGCATTTTAACAATCCTAGTTTATGGTGTACATGAGTGATTATGACTGACATTATTCCAATAAAAAAATTCTAGAAAGAACTTTAAAAAGCGCGGCACAATACGCTTTTACTCTCAATAATAATAAAAAAATTAAATATCTTTATAAGGAGTGATAAAAATTAATTTCCAATATCTTCAAAAATTATTTATATAATATTTTAATTTTATTGGATAGAAAAAAAATGACCATGATATATAAATAAATATTATAAATATTGTATAGGATTATATTTATATATGAATTATAAGATGTATAAATGTGTATGTACTTTATATTATGTAGTCTCACTTTTTAAAATAAATTACAATTATTTTATAAAGTCGGTTTATAATGTTTTATAAATTACATAATTTTCATCGTATTTCCAATAAGATCTGATAAATTATGAGTTTTCTTTCTGTTTTTTAAAAATTCATTTTTAAAATACTAAAAAAATAATTATGGGACATATAAATAAGAATAAAAGAGGGAGAAAAAAAATATCTTTAAAAAAACTACATTTCTTTATATGCCTTTACATGAACAATATCTAATTAATAACCATTCATTTTATGGGATGACGTTATTTAATTTTTAAAATAATGTTATGTATAACCTGTCTGTCATGACAATTCCCACTCATTCCAATGAGTGAGTTTAAAGGAAAAGACGGAACATTTAAAAACTACGTTTCCAAATTTAATTTTTCTTTATCTTTTCCATTTTTTGATCAGCGAAGAGAAATGATTAGGAGATGGAAGGTTAGTGGTAGGGGACGAAATATTTTTTGTGATACCGTTAAGGTTATTAAAATTATTCGTGAAATGGTATAAATTTGAAACACCGTCTCTGACTAAGGTTTCGTGGCTCGTAATTAGGGAATGAATAAGGTATTTTTTGGATTCGAGTAATTCGTTCACAAAATATTGAGATCTTTGAAGGTTAGCCTGTTTTTTTTAAAGGAAAAAAATATATATATAATAAATACAATATGTGTATATATATTGTGAATTCCATAAATTAACATGAGTTTCAACCTGACCCCTACAAATTTTAACTCCAAACAACGGCTGAGATATGGGGTAATATAAATATCTTTTGATATAATCGAGCTAGAAGCGTCATTTAAATTTCTTTATAAATGCTAAGGGTAGATTTTTAAAGCATATAATGATAAATCATTTTGTTAAAAAATTTTAAATCTCCAAAAACCGGAAGTCATAAAATCAAATCGGTATTTATTTTCGATAATTTATTTATGAATAGCTAGAGGATCAAAATATAAATGTGCACAATTTCAAGTTGGGCCGAGTTCAGGTTTAGGAGATGTGGCCTTTTAATCATTAGTCATGTAAAATTCGCAATAAATATTCGATTAGATTAAATAAGGGCAGGGGACTATGGTAAATTTATGTAATATATATAATTCATACCTAAAATTCGAACAATTAGGATAAACATATACGTTATAAAGGTCTAAGAAATGTACTTACTCAAGTGTGCTTTTCAAGGACTATTGAAAACTTTATAATTCCGATGAAAACAGTCGTAAAATACCTGGTAAAAAACATTTTATATCAATAAAGGTTAAGGGAGAGAAGTGACAATAAACCAAAATATTGTGTCTTAGTTGAGGACCAAAAACCCATGCCGTGTGCATATCCACTATTCATCAAAATTAATTGATGTTGAAGAGGAAGATTTATTTAATCATAATGATATATTCCCTATTACGGATTATCAAGATTGTATTGCACAATCTCTCTTAATCCTGTAATTCCTGATTGTTACTTTAGACAATGTAATTCCTCAATCTAAGATAAATGTTTAAGATATTATTAGATAATAAATAGTGCAATTGATTATACAACTTCAAACAATGGTTATCTATTGATCGAACGACTCTTGAAACATTTTGCAAATCGACATCCAATTTTATGGATTTATTTTTCAAAAAACTAAATACGTTAATCCCATATTCATTTATATCTTTGCAACAGTCAGAATTTCACAATACATTAATCAAGTTTATATATTTAATTATATGTGATTTTTGGAAAATTATGCTTTTGTGGTGCAGGATCACGTTCAAAGATTCCAAACCATAGTACTATCCATCCCTTTATAATGTATTATAGTAAAAATAATAAGAAACAAACATATTATCTGTGATGATGTCATCATGTCTAAAAGACAACGCATGTCCATTTATTTATTCCAAACTAAAATGATTAATTTTCTCAAATCAAAATTTCACAATATATCAAAAAAAAAAATTTCCTAGGCGCAGTAGCGCAATATAAAAATAAAAAAAATTCATAATCTTTGCCATCATGAACTCGATTTCGGAATCAAAGCAGAATGACATTTTTTCACAACAGCCCATGGCAAAATTGTTTGCGAGAGTTTAGGAGGAGTTACCAAAAGGTTACAAGAGCTAGCTTCAGCATCCTTATGAGAACCAGATATTAAATACTTTAGATTTATTTAATTTTTGTATAAAAAAATATCACAGAAATTAATTACAAGCTAGTAAACGACCATGAATATGAAAAAATATCTTGAAGCAAGGTTAAAAAAGACTAAACGTATTCCCAGAACAAAAAAATTTCATGTGCTTATATCTTTTATGGAAAATAAAATATAAGTTATATTCATATTGTGAAAATTATTTAATTTATAATATATAAATTTTATAAAATTATATTTTGTCTTAAATAAAATTATAATCAAATCTTGATTTGTATTTTGTAAATATTTTTACGAGAAAAATTTTAAATCAAATACTCATAGCCCCTTTTCCCTCTTCAAATAATTTGATAACTTTTGATTTACAATTTGACTAATATCAAATATTTATTAAGAATATTTTCAATAGACTAATTTATAAAATACAGTATTACCTAATTTTGCATATTTATTTATTAATTCTATAAGTATTCATAAAAAAATACCTATTTGATTTTATAATCATTTCCAGTTTTTAATATAATAATATTTCTAACAATATTTAACATTATATAACTTTAAAGGTCTACTAAGGATATATAAAGAAACTTAAATGACGTGTCTAGCTCAATTATATACAAAGATATTTAAAATTAAAGGGAGAGCATTTTACCCAAAATGCCCCATTTCTTCGAAATTTAGAACCCCATATCTCCGCCGCTATTTGGAGTTGAAGGCTAAAATTATTATTTTTTTCTTAGTTATAAAACATACAGATTCTTGTAAAAATAAAAAAAATCTGAGTGGGTCGAGTTAAAAATCGTGTTTTTTTGTTGATTTGTCATGGATCTTACTAAATATATGTTAGCGAATGTGTTATTTTTACAACTATAAATCATTTTTTGAGGGTGTTTTTTTTAAATTTTAAAGACTGATTTTACAGGAAATGTATCTCATCATGTTTGGAATAACTATCCTATGAATTTCCGACAATTTTGTTATGAACTTTTATACTTAATATAATTAATATTAACTTTTTCCATATATTATTTTAAATAAAGTATAAAATGAATCAAAGGTTATCGGCAAAATAATCTACAATTCATGATAGGGTATTCTAAACATGCTAGAACACATTTCCTGAAAAATCAGATTTTTTTAAAAAAAATTTTTTAAAAAAGCGCTCAAAAAATGATTCAAAATAACACATTGCAGCTAACATATATAAACAAAGGAATTGCGGTAAAGAAATAATTATAGTAATATAAAAAAAAGTTGTGGGCAGGGTTGGGACAGTATCGTAAATATATGAATAATCGAGAAAGTATTAGAATTTTAAATATTTTTAAAAAATAATAATAAAATAAATGCATAATAAATTTTATTAATTTTTTTTATTATAGATGTTAAATGATTTTTTCTGTAACATCCTATTTTCATTAAAATGAAGGCCGCATTTATACCTGAAATCGAAATTCAAAAGGAAATTTTTTTAAAGAAGATGGTCTAGAACTAGAAGATATCAATTAAAGTTCCACCGAGTATAGAGGGTTAGGGTTAGGGAGTCTCTGGAATAGTCTACAAATTCTTAAGATGCCATGTAATTATATTAGATAAGATGGATGGGTTATAATATATAAAAACTGTTATATATATATACCCTTATTTATTTTATTCTTCTAGTTTGTAGTTAGGAGATGAGGACATAATAAATTTTCAATTTATCATCAGTCTCAACTCATAAATTTATAAATATTCTAATAATAAATTCGAATCCTAATTCTCTACATGTTAGAAACATCATTTCAATATTATAGGTGTTCTCATTATAGATAGAAAATCTTAATATTACTTTAATGTTATTGTATAATATAATTTTACATATTTATAACTTAATTTTCCTTGTAATTTCCTAGTTATTTTTTTTTAAATATGAGATCCAAACATAGCTCTGTTAGTATTGGTAATACTATAAAAAAATGTATATGCCTAATATTTGTATTATTTTTAAAAAAACATACCCAACCCTGCTTGCAGGCAATCAATCCTATTAGGTAAAACGATTAACCATTTTTAAAAAAAAAATCAAGTGTGTACCAGTAATTTTTCGTAGAAGCGAATGTCCGGGTCAAAGGGATTATCCATGTAAAATTGAAAATATTCAAAATCGAGCCTTTGATTGGCGCTCAAAACGTTATTACATTTTTTGGTTCCTTCGAAGACTTTTAGAGTCAGCGGCGAGGAATTTTTATGTGTACAATTTGATCGAGGTTTGGAAATGTTGTAAGAGGAGGATACTTTGAGTGATATTTTTTGGGAGTACAAATCTTCTTTGTATGTTCTCAAAAAATTGAGATGATTTATGCTGGCGGTAAGCTGCAATTTAGGAAAAATTAATTTTAAAAAATTTTAAAAAAATGGGTTTTTACTATTTTGTCCAATTGAGAAACGAGATACAGTATTTTCCATGAGAAATTTGGGTAAGGAGAATTAATCGGATCATCTTTACAAGTTTCCTTTTCATTTTTTTCTAAAATATTTTAATTTTAAAAAGAATTTTACAAAAAAAAGTATTAAAAAAAATATTCTTATAAAAATTGACTATCTTTTATTTTAGATACTTTTAGTGCTAGTTAAACGGCGAGATTTAAAAGTATTTTAGCCAACAAATATTATGCAAGTCTCTAGATTTCTATTATAGATAGAAAAAGGTTTGGACATCTAGCAGCGAAATTTAAAAGCTTAGTGCAATATTATTTTGGCTAAACTTAATTTGAAATCGACTAAATAGAGCTGTTTAATGGAGTTAGAGGCTTTGATTTAAAATAAAATTGATTAAATAAATTTTAAAAAACCGATTGAGGCAGAAGATGTGTTGTTTGTAGTTGCTAAATAGTTGACTAAAGCTTTGTCGAGAGCGCTCATGTCACTGACGTTAACAGGACCATTAAGCGAGTTGGCAATATCATTGGTTCCGATTGAATTTGCTCCGAGATTAACGTTGATGGATTCTTTACAACGTACATCGTCCTTCTTGTTATAATGGCTGAAAGGAATAGAGTTGAAATTTGCCGATCTATAATTGTCGTAATAAGAACAAGAGTCCATGATGCCGGGGATGGGCAAAGGTTTCTCTATAATATTAAACAATAATTAAAATTCGCAATTATTTCACATAAGAGATATTTGATGTAATGACTATATTTAGGTATTGACGTGTCGAGTAATTCGGCTCAATCTAAAGCCGTTGCTAGAAAAAATCCGTTAAAATTAAGGCATTTTAATTTATATTAATTTGAGCTGTTATCTTTTTAAGAAAAACCCCAAAGCCAACGTGATGGTTTTCGGCTAAAAACTTGGCTTAGCCGATTTTTTAGCCAGCCAAAAATTAAGTTAAACGGCTAAAAATATAGTAATAAATAATCATACTATAGTGATGACTCGCTCTAGCTTAATGAAATTTAACCAACCAATCTTCTCGCCGAATTCGTACTTAATTTTATCAAATGTTACGTGGCCAAGATATATTACTAAAATTATTAACCAATTTGGAAAGCACAATGTATAATTTATAACAAATACCTTCTTTAGCTAGTGGTGGAGGTGGTTTTCCCTCGTGGTAGATAAGCTCACCTCGTTTTTTCTTTTTTTGATTGATGGGGGATTCATTTGACATATCCTTTTCCTTACCGTTTACTCCCAACAGACGGGGTTTAACCACCCTGTTGTAATAAGAGTTTTTGATTGTTTTAACGCGTTCCTTCCCGACGGGAGTCGATGCCTTGATACCAGGGGATGTAGGCTCGATTTTAAACAATTCCGATTTAATCTTTTTAGTGGCCTTGGGGCGTTTGTAATCTAGTGGTGGGGCACTCATTCCTTTGCCCATCATAAAATTATCCATATTTTCATGTACCGAACATTTAAGACCGGCCTTGGCACGTTTGAGGTTAAAACTATCGATCGATTCGGAAGAGGTCATTGAAAGTAAGTTTTTACGATATTTTTTGCCCGTCATTTTGATAACTTTAGAGTCTGCGGACATGGTTATCTCGTTGAAAGAACTATTCACTGCCCCGTAAGAAGATTTAAATCTTTTATACCTCGAATCATCGATTTTGGGGAAAGCAGACGGATTGTACTTGCCGCTATGTTGTGAGTTGTTGCGAGCCAAAGATTTTTTACCGATGTGATCAGTGTTATCGTCAATGTATAAGGTATCAAAGCAATTTTTGTTGCTAAAGTTCCCAAGAGGGGAAAAAATATATAAAATAAAATTGAAGTGAGAGAATACATTTGTATTAATTGAATCTTTTATGTATAACTGAAAATTCGATGAAACGTCTATCCTAAGAGAGGACGCGTTTTTGTCCTGGAGAGGAAGCATCCCACCCAAAATAGTCATCTTTCAGAGGAAGAATAAAAATATTAATCACTAAAAAAGCTAAACATATTAAGAGATATTCATATTTTTTGCAACATCAGACCAGTAAAATCAAAATCGAGATAGTCAGTAATCAAATGACAAATAAATTTCCAAAATTTTTTCCCAATAATTGTTTTTTTTTAAATGTCTATTGTAAAAAAAATAATTCTTAGTTAATTTGCTATTTTTTTAAAAAAGATTCCCAAACATCTAACATTTTAATCAGATTTCATAAAAAATTTTGATCTCTTTTAAATATAATATTTACAAAAATTCTAAAAAAAATGTCTGCCAAATTTAACGTCCTTTTTATAAAAAAAATTGTTTAAAATTCAATCTTTGTTAATTACACAAAACTTGACATATAAAAGAAGAATATAGTGCATTAATTTGTAAAGAGCTGTCCTTAATTATTATGTTTCATCAATATTTCATACAAAATATAACTTTTTTTCCTATCAATTTAACCTATGTATTGGAAAGGCATATTTGTTTGGATCACAGTCTCAGTGTTGTTGTTTTCAAATAGCTAATACTAGTAATATGACTTATTAAATATCTAATGTCTTTATTTCAATAGGATAATATGTGTACTAAATTCTTTATAATTATGATTTATTTAAAAAAAGATTTAAAAATTCTTTAAAATAATGATTTATTTAAAAAAAAATTTTTTGTTTATTCATTTTCTAAAATTTTCTGTTTTATCCAGTAGGTTGCTAATGTTAACAATGCCTTGTAAAATAATGATGTTAAAACTATTATTGATACAGCTTGGGCAGTTGTAAACCTTTGTTAGAATACTTAAATCAATACAAAAAACAATGACAGTATTGAATTACACAACTCTCAGGTTCTAAGTTTATAGAAAATAATTATTAAATTTCAAGGATTTCTAAATCTTTTTTCTTTTTGGGGGATACCTTGAACTTTCAAATTTTAAAAAAAATCCCTGTTGACAAATCTCTTTTTCATAGTGTTTAGCGTGTGCCTCCCTTAACCCAAAAATAAAGACAGATGAACCTTCTTCGGTTAGTTATTAAAAGAATATAAATGTATATGTGTACACTATATATTTATTTTAAAAAACCTGTCAAAAATGAGAGGGCTCTCCTCTGAATCATGTATTTCGACAACAGATCCAGACCTTTTATTTAAGGCAGCTAAGTTTAGATTCTGTTTTCTGGGTTGCTTTTTCCGCCCCAAGGGAGATAATATCAAATGGGATGTCAGATTTAAATTGTTGCCATGCGAGTAGTTGAGATGTGGTAAAGTAGAATAATTTTGAGAAGCAGTGGAATATCCTTGAGAATTTGGTACAAAAGGTAATAAACGTGGGGCTAAAGGAGAAAAGGCAAAATTTGTAGGATTGTTCCCCATTTGGTTATTGTGGAAAGAGAGGGCCTTGTGAGATGAATGCATGCACGATAATGTAGAAGTTTGGGATACAGGCTTAATTAATGGAATTGGGTTTACTGCATTCAAAGTTTTTGGAAATAAAGAAAAAATAATTATAAAAGATTAACAGCTCAATTTTTTAAAAAAGGTAACCAAGATTTTAGTAAAAAATATTACACAAGCCTAGAGATTTTATATATAGATGGCAGAAATATATGGACATTAATAAGCAAAATCTCGAGATTATGCAATATTTATTTAGGCTAAAAATCTTAATATAAAATTTACTAAATTAAACCATTTTAAGAAAATGGCAACAATAATTAATAGGCTTTGAATAAGAAAGTTAATATTTTTAATTATTTAATGGATAAAAATAGTTAAGTAAGAAATTTTTTATTATAATTTAAATTTTTACTATATCATCCTAATCCTGACATTTATATAATAGAATATATAATTTTCTTACATTTGTCTAAAGGAGTAAAATGTAGATTTTGCCCAGAAGAATTATTCAGTGAATGTACTGAACTCTCTGATATAAAAGAAAATTTTGAGGAGTCAAAATATGGGTGATTGGCATCTGATTTTACTGAACAGTTATTACCATTCGTGAGGGATGATTCAATATGAGATTGAGCCTTATTTGATATAAAATTTGGTTGTAGAATAGTTGATGAAGCACCTATCATAACAGGCCCATTCTGGGTGTTGCTGGGTGTATTCCACATGGATATGTTTCGATTTGTAGAATTGATATTTATATTGCCAGCTGGCATTAAAAACGCTGAGTTAAAATTTTTCAATTGTGCTGTAGTTTTTATTGTTTTGTTTTTGGCTATTTGACATTTGTTGCTAACAGGAACATTATTGTATGGGAAGAAGGAACTAAATTGTGATAGTGGACAGTAGTTAGGAGAGATGGTGTTAGTTTGAATAGGATTTAAATTAACAAAATTTATTAAATTATTTTTATGAATATTCGATGAAGTAGAATTATTGTTATTAATGTTATTGTTGATGATATTGTTAATAAAATGAGTGGGAGGCACAGGTTGGTGCCTCTGAAATTGATGGTGACTATTAAGCAGTATTAATTGTTGAAATTCTTTCGCATTCAAGCCTATGATACCAGGTGAAGGTATTCGTGCACCATTATTTACATAATTTGCACCCATGTAACTTTGACTAAGTTCATTTTGCAATTGAGATATTGGTTGAAGCATTGGTGTTGAAGTCATAAGGTTTTTCCGAGTAAAAGAGAGAACATTAAACTTGTTATTGGTATAATTATTTATAGGGACTGTAGTAAAGTTGTTAGAAATACTATTATTCATGTTATTGTGAATTGTGTTGCTTTGTGGAGACAATAGTTGAGATGTTGCATCATTCGTGTGATTAATAAAAGAATCATTATTTGAAATTTTACACTCATTTTGATATGAAATTGGGGAAAATAAGTTTTGATATTTCAATAAGTTTTTTGTTGTTTCGTTATCTTTTGACAAAATAATTGATTCATCTAATTTTTCTGAACAATGTAAACTATTTAAGTTTTTTTAAAAAAAATAATAAAAATAGGCATTTACTTGAGAGATGATGTCTTATATATTTGATTTTCTTTATGTTCCAAGTGTGAGGATATGACATTTGATCCTAATGATTCAGTCTTAAGAATCTGATGCTCAATTACATCTCCTATATTTTTTGATATGGATGGGAAAATAGTTTTTGCAATTACTTTTGTAGGTGGCCTTAAATTTTGATTAAATATATTTAAAGGAGTTGACCTATATTTTATTTTATGTTACTAATTTATATCATTTATATTACTTAGCAATGGGTAATTTGGTGTTGTTAATATTTGTATTATTTAGTAATTGTCTTTTAATTGGTAAAACCTCAACAATTTTGGAGTTCATTACATTTATTTCTTCAATTCTTGTCCTATCTATTAATTTAAAAAAAAATGTATTGTAATGTTTAGGTTTACACTTACTCTTTATAGTATGAGATTCTGTGTTATTTAAATTCTTTAAGTTGCAACTCTCAAAATTGTTTTCCAGAGCTAATTTTTTACTATCATTATATGTTACCTGTTCATTTGTATGATTATTCTGGAGCAATGATTTTTCGATTTTGTTTGCTATAAAATCAGATAAATTAAATAATGGTAATTGGTGGGAATCTTGACCAGGTAGCAAAATATAATTATGTGTTATGGCCGCAATACAAGATTTAATATCTTTATTGCAGTCAGGATTATATTGCTTATAATTAGATTCTTCATCATTATTTTGAGTGTGTCCATTACATAATGAATAATTTATGGGAAAATTTTGACCATTTTGAATAATTGTATTTTCTAAATTTTTACAATCATTATGCACTGGCGAACATTCATCATCCTGAGAAATTAATGAGGATGGTTGCATGTGTAACAATCATAAATTGAATCTGTTAAAAATAAATTTGATAAGGTTTATAAACAATATTTAGTAAAATGGCGATTTATGTTTAAGACTAAATATATTGTATAAAAATGAGAAAGTATAAGATAAAATGATATTTAGAGATGCAAAGCAATTTATTTAAATAAAACAGAAAATAAATTTATAATACTTTTTTAGGGAGAATGATATTTCTTAGTAGAATGAAGACTTTAAAATCTAGTAAATATATTTTGAATAATATAAATCTCCATAGTTAACATCAATTAAATTCATCCATATCTAATCATCGGAATATTGATATCAAAACTGTATAAATAATAATATTATCATTTTGAGAGGGAACGAAGTTAAAAAAATATTTTATTTTTCATTTTTTTGTTAAACTTTTTTACGCATATAAGCATATTGTTTGTTTATTTATTTGTATAATGTATAAAAATTAATAAATAAAAAGTAAAATGTTTTGATTGGCTCAATATTATCACGTGACAAATTATAGAAAAAATAAATAAAAATATTGACTAAAATTTGAAATTTTTATATTTATTTACATTTTTTCATATGATAGTTTATTTTGTTAATTTTTTAAAATATTAAACTAATTTTTTTACAGATTAATTTGATTACGCGCAAAATATAAGGAGTTAAATTTTTTAAAGATATATCCACAAATCATTTACAGCATTATTTTTAATGCTTTTATCAATTGTAGATAATCAAGATTATGACCTCAAGACAAATCAAATCTATAAATTAATTTCTTATTGTAAAAGAATCAACTTTTGATCATCATGTTCACCAAGTAACAATAAATTTTAGAAATAGAAACAAAATCGATCAAATAATATCTAAAAAATCTTTCATCTGACGCCATATTGGAACTCTTAAATACAAAAAATGTATATAATAAACTAATTTGCATTTACACAAATATATTTTTTTTTGCTTGTTTAAATTTTAATCATTGGGTTACTTAATTCTTTCATACAAAAGATCTTCATACGCGTGCGCAGTAATATAACTTTTTGCATCATTTCCAAACATTGTTTAAAAATTTATATATCATATTTATTTCTTTTTGAAAAAATTTTAAAAAAAATTAAAACGTAGCTATTTTTTTAAATTATTACAGAATTTATTTTTAGATGTTTCGATAAAGATTTATCAAATTTTTGATAAAAATTATCTTTCCTTTTATTCGGTAATTTGTGAGGTTTTTGCCGGGCATGACTTACCCCTCTATCAAAGCGTAAAATAATGTTAATATACGTATTAAGATGATTTAGAAAATGTTTTTTTTTAATTTAAAAAAAAAATGGTGACAATGATATTTAAATTTTTACATGAACGCAGAATCAGATATAACCAGCGTTGTTAAGGAGCGGCGCTTCTGGAGCGCCCATACTTTTAAAAATCGCGAGCGGATACTAGCTCCTTTTAAGGCCGGATTGGGGGATCACCGCTCTTAAATTTAATGTATAAATAAAATTATTTTTAAAATATTAATAAATCTTTATTTGTTAATTAAAATTATAAAAATGAAATTTTATTTAAATTTATGCAATTTTAAATGTTGAGCCGAGTTTTATATTGGCTTTTCATCTAATCAGTTAAAATTGGAAAATCTTGTACATCATATTAATATTCATTTTATAGATATATGATAAAAAATAGTTTTTGAAATTATGGGTCCAGACCTGATAGAAGAATAAATTGAAATAAAAAATAAATTATCTATAGATTTTCAAATGTTTCTAAAAATGAAAATATTATTGCGGCTATTATCCATCCTGCATTCAAATTAAATTGGGAATGGGTAAAAATGCACAAAATATGGAACTAAAATACAAATTAATTGATTTTCTAAGAAAACCCCAGAAACCCTATAATTATTTGGAATATTTTTTTGGATTCAAACGTAATTGATCATCAGGAAGATAATATATTGACAAATATTTTTAAATAATGAAAAAATTAGTATTTTTGATAAATTGAAAATATTTTTATAAAATACAATACCCCGCTTCCCTCTAGTGTTCCTGTTTAACAGATTTTAGGGGAACGTGGATATTTGTTAGATTCAAATTTAGAAAACTTATTGCTTTTAAAAGCAACTATAGAGATTATAAATGATTTGATATATCTATATCATTTTATATAAATAAAACTTTTTTGATAAAGAATATGATTTTGTTTAGTGTACTTTCTTAAAAAAATTCAAAGGAGCAGGTATGGATGTGCCCTTCATTACTTTTAGCGGAAGCTAGCTCTTTTTGAGAAAATAGGAGCAGGAGCTAGCCACTTTTAAAAAGGAGCTTTAACAACTATATAGCTCATTAAAAGGATCAGAAAATGTTAATATTAAATTTTAAAATATTTTCTAACTTAATTGGCTTTTGAAAAATTTTTTTAGACTAAATTATGTGCTGTCGGTAAATTTACCCTATTTTTAGATTCAGAAATTGGTAGTATTAATTCTTTTTAAAAAAAATTTTAGACTAAAATATACGCTACTTCGCGCTCTCGGTAAATATACACTATTTATAAAAATGAATGCAAAATCGTGTTTAGCTCTTCGAGAAGATTTAGAAAATGGTAATATTTATTTATTTAAAAATTATATTTAATTATCGAGAAAAAATTTCACTTAAATTCGAGCTCTCAGTATAGTATTTTTAATGCAGTAGCTCTTCGAGGAAATTCAGAAAATAGTAGTATTCATTTTTTTTTAAAAAAATTTTAATTACCAAAAGAAAATTATTTGACTAAAATACGCTTTCCCGGTAAATATATGTTATTTATGCAGAATTATGTTTAATCAATGGGGTCTAGTCAATTGTAATTAATTTTTTCCAATCATGCTATAAATCCATCAGAGCCCTCGTTATATATGTACTAAGTAGAAAATTCCCAACTTATTTGAAACACATCTTGCATATTTTCAGAAAATTTTGAGGAGCTCATTGGCGTACGCAGCAGGGGGACAAATCCCCCCCCCCAAGCCAAAAAATGCAGAGGCCAGATATATTTTTCAAAAATATTTTTGTTTAGAGTGTTGTGCAGATTTAATTTAAAACATTTCAAAATTTTTTAATTCGTTTGTAAATAAGAATTTTAACTTGTAAAAATTGATAAGAATATATAAATATGTTATTTTAACAACTTTTTACAAGTCAAATAATTTTATTTTCAAATAAATTAATAAATATGGAAATGTTTTGAATTAAATTTACACAGTACTATATTAATTTATATTTGTTAATATTTATTCCTATCTCATATTAAATATATATTTAATTACATTTATTATCACATTCATCACTAAGTTTATCAATTAATTTCGATTTAAAGTTCTCCGGCGTAATATTATCTTATTATTTTCAAATTTTTAGTGGCGTAATATTTATCTACCATTTTTAAATTTCTAGTCAAATAATAATTATTCTGAAATTGTCCAACAGAGAGAAAGAAATTGCAACCTTGTCCTACGAGATAGAGTCTCCGCCATCAAGCAGTAACAGCTTTTATGGAGTTAGAAGAGCCGATTATTTGCTATTACTGACATATCACAATGGCCTGAAAGAAATTTTTCCTTAGAAGCAAGAAAATTATTGGATTCAATGCTTATTCCAAATTTTTTTTCTCATTCTTTCTTTCTTTCTTTCTCATTTTAATTTCGTTAATAATTTGATCACATGTTATTTTTACTTTTCTAATAAATTTATTTTATGTATTACTTTTCAAAAACATGATGACTTGATTAAGAAGATGAGAATAGCGGAGAGCATTTTATTAGATTTCAAGGAAATTAGGGCTAATGTTTATGAAGAATTTCATATTTTATATGTTATTAAGTCAAAAGCAGAGCTCTACGTGTTTAATATTTGTCTCACTCGACTTGCAGCAAGGCAAGCTCATAGTTAAAACATTAATATAGGATCAGTAGAAGAGTATATCTTAGATACAAATTAAACCAAATAAATGAATGGTTTTTAATTCATTATGCAGCACTTACCAATCTGCAAATATTATTTTCATAAAAGCCTTTCCAACCTTTTTCAGATGGTGATAGAAAAAAAATATTTGTTGGATTTTTATCATGAAGATGTTAAAGTATCTTATGATGCCTTATTAACTGAATAACTATGTTTATAAGATTAACTATGGTTGATACAGTCCCAAAAAATGCTATGGATGCTCTGCATTATTTCAAACACATTTTAGATTATATTCCTAATGTATTAAAAAGGTTTTAGCAACTCTTCCCAATAGTAAACTAATGAGAGAACATTCTCTTTTTCAAGAAGAATAACAGAGCCCTGCAGAGGTACCATTTGCAGGGCACGACCCGGATTTTTTTAAAGATTTTTACGGCTAAGCTCAATTTTCAGGCCCGACCCGGCCTTTTTTAAAATAAAATTTTCAGGCCCGACCCTGATTTTTTTAAAGATTTTTACGGCTAAGCTCAATTTTCAGGCCCGACCCGGCCTTTTTTAAAATAAAATTTTCAGGCCCGACCCGGATTTTTTAAAAATAAATTCTATTTATTTTTGATTTTTATAGCTAATAATAACGATTTCAAATATAGGCTGTTTTAAAATACACAGTCCGGCCCGGATATTTTTTTAAAAAAATTTTCAGGCCCGGCCTAGATTTTTTTTTAAAAAATTCAGGCTCAGCCCTGGTGTTTTTTTTAAATTTCGGACACGGCAATACGGTCCGGCCCGAGGGCCGAGCCTGCAGGTCTCTGAAAAACATACCAAGAAGTACAACTTTTGAAAGTAGATTGAAAGGTTTGGATCTTTTGAATATTCATAGGCATTTGACAACAAGCAAGGATGAGATAATTGAAAAAATAGCTCAATCCCAACGAAGATTGGATTTTACATTGTAAATATATAACATAATACAATTATTCCCTAAGCTTTTTGTGTATTAATTTATATTTCTAACATTTAAATTTTTTATACTTTATATATAAATTTTAAAGCTCAAAAAATAAAAATTTCTATTTTGGGTCATTTAAGTGATTCTTTACATATAATTTTTTTATAATTCACATTAATTTAAAATTGTGTATTAGAAATAGCTATTAGTCCTAATAAATGTATACATGATATTTTTAAAAACAATAATATTTCTCAAAAAATTTTATTATCCGCCCCCCCCCCAGACCAAATTCCTGCGTACGTATAATATTTTTTTTTTAATTTTATAAAAGTTATTGCTAATAGAAGAAGCAAAATCACTATTTTTTTATGCATAAATAAGATATTAAGATTTTATAATATCCGTGC